TATAAAAAAAAGAACATACAAAATGTAGTTCAGTGGTTGTTTTTGGTTGCTGTCTTTCTTTTTTTTTTTTTAGTCATAAATCAGGCCTCTGGTTTTCTCGTTTGAAATATATTACATTTTGTCATGTCGGGGCCTCTGATAGCTGACTATACGGTATTGTTTTTGCTTTTTGTTGACGGTCGTATGGTGACCTGTAGTTGCTTTAACCCAAGTCATTTTGTCTCTAGTGGTTAGTTATCTAATTAATTTGGCTCATCTCCTTATTTTTCATACTTAATATACTGTCAAGTGTTTTTATTGACATTTCAGCATCAGTTATATCTTCCTTATTTTTACAAGCATACGGTGATGATCCTCTGTGTAACTATATGTAACTGTTATGATTTTGAATTTTTCAAAGAGTTTTAATTTTTTGTAAGGATTTTATCATAAATTAATTTTGAATTACGTCTTCCCCAATAATTTCCTTCAAAAACATGTATATAAAAATTTATAAAGTGGTAACGACGAATAGCACTACAGTAACTAGATATAAGAAGGATCACAGAACGTTCTTTACTACATTTAAAGTAAAGGACCAGCGCTGTCATTGCTGTTTCTCATTTCAAAGTACCAATAAGACCTTCAACAGAGAGAATCTCATTACAGGTTAAAAAAAAACTAGCATTTTAAGTGGAATTTCTTACTGTATGTCGACAACGCTGCATATGCAGGATTTACATGGTATAAAGGACAAACAAATATAACGAAAAGATTTTATTTTGACCGACAATATCATTTTAAATCACGTGAACAATAAAAACATTAAATGAACCACGAGACGCAGCAAAATTTTTGTTTTTCTCTTTCGGGCTCCATGGTTACCGAAATAGTCATTTAGTCTAGAAACGTATATACTCTATTTATACCTTATTCTTGTCAAGTTATCTAACTCACATTCGTGAAGTTACAACACAAACTCACGAACAAATAAGTAATATCTGTACAAATATGGGAGACCACTTCTCAAGCACGTGTACGGCCTTCATCTTGAGCACAAGAGACACACTCTGCAAATGTAAACTCATGGAATGCATGTCATCAGTCATGACACAAAATGATTTTACAGCAGCTATCAAGATTAAGAGCAGTAAACTTGTTGTTCCTTTGATATCCTGTGTTTTATCGAAGCCCGCATTATTTTAGATGTCCTTGGCCTCATTTTCCCAGTTCATTTTTCGTAAAAAATCTAGGTTAATGTGTAACAGTTATGTGTTTTTTACAAAGGTGAAATTAAGACAATCTGTATAAATGTCATGCCTATTTCTTTGACCAGTAGAATTTAAAATTAACCTCATTCTCAGGCTCCATTGAATCCTATAAATTTGCCAAACACAAATCTTTAATCTGTTGAATTTTCGTAGTTTTGAAAGAAATATAAGAGCGAGGCGAAAGATACCAAAGGGACCTTCAAACTCAAAAGTCGAAAATAAACTGACAACGCCATGGGGAAAAAAAAGATCAAAAGACAAACAAAAGCACACAAAACACAACAGAGGAAACTAAAGACTGTGCAACACGAACCCCTCCTAAAACTGGGGCTGATCTCAGGTTCTCTGTAAGGGTAAGCAGATTCTTACCGTGATCATCTTACCTTAAACTTCTTGTAAAATGTTGGTTACAATATAAGTTTTTCAGGGCTACTATTCATACCGAGATGACCATTAAGAAATGGACACTTGATTGTGATTTTAATTTTATGAGGTGTCTAGGGCTGTAAGAGGTGGGGCTTCATTTCTGTCCCTTTTTAGGAGATTTTCTGCCTTTGTTTTTACATTGTTTATTTTCCTACAATTTTTCTAAGTTCTTTTTATTTTTGCCGATTATTTTCTATTCTCTATATTTTATCACGCCATTATTCTCTTTTTCATTTTTGTTTGCCTTTTCAACTCGATTCTTTAATTGTTTGAGCCATTATTCTCTATTCTATAATCTCCACTCTGACGCCCTTATATTGCTGGTTTAAAGGGGCATTAGCTACGAGATATACAAAATAAATAAATATGATTTGTTTAGTTCAATCATTAATGAAAGTGAAATAGTGAAATAATAATTCGCTTTTAACAGCCAATTTGGTTCAATTTTGTCAAAATAAGATAATAAACATCGCTGATGAATTATTCACTTGCGAGGGAATAATTCGAACTCATTTAATTCGTATTCATGTGACCTTCAATTTAACCCCTTAGCTGGATATGGGTCACGCATATATTCAGCTATTAAAAAGAAAAGAATGTCAACATTGAAAGTGAAACAAAGATGAACCATTTGGTTGACTGATTCGATCCACAAAAATTCAGTCGTATACAGGTAATAAAGTTGATAAACATACTTTTATACTACAGTATGAAATCAAGCAGACCTAGAAAAATCCAATTGCACGTGGTCGCTATCTATTTATATTCATAGTTATGTTTATATCAGGTTACATGACCGTCGGCAATCTTCGGAGGTCATCTCGGTGATTAATTAGATGACGTCTGGAAAAAAAATGCACATGAAATGCTGATTCATATTATCGAGTCCATGCATTATTATTTGTTTATTTAAGACTTTTTATAATTTGGATATACGTTTTAGTATGTTATAAATCAAATATGTGGATTTGATTCAAATCGTTGAACATGAATTTGATGCACCTTTAAAGAATTGTATTGTTTACTATGAAAAACAAGTCATCTGTATTTTGACCTTTTGATTTATTCTCTGTCTTCTTAACCTTGACATGAATTCCATGGTTCAGTAAATATGTGATTCCTATTTGTTATAAATATGTGTGTGTTTATTGCATAATCAAAATATCCAGTTTTAAGTTTGGCGCATAGACTTTCGACATATTATTCAGTTTGAACACGATTACGAAAATGAGATACTGTAGCAGAAAAGGATTTCTGCGTGACCATTCTTGCAATTATCATTTATATGTCCTGTCTTACATAGCACGGGAAGGCACTATGTTTCTGGCCTGTGTGTCCGTCCGTCCGTCCGTCTGTCTGTCTATTCGTCCCGTCTCGTGTTAAAAGTTTTTGTCACCAGCGCAACGAGTTGCGGGGGACATAGAAATATCGGGCATCCGTCCGTCCGTCTGTTCATCCTGTTTCGTAAGAGCTCTCACGTGTACAATTCTTGCCAGATTTTTATGAAACTTATATCATAGATTTATATCAGCGATGTCTCTGACGAATTTGAAAATCAGTGCCGATGAACCATTTTTAATAGAGTTATGCCCCTTGGAAACATTAATTATATGAAAAATTGCATCGTTAGTGCTCTCATTTGTACAATTCTTGCCAGATTTTTATGAAACTGATATTGTAGGTTTATATCAGCAATGTCTTGGATGTGTTCGAAAATAAGTGCTGATGAACTATTTTTAAATAGAGTTATAACTCTTGGAAACATTGATTATATTTAAAATTGCATCGTTAGCGCTCTCATGTGTACAATTCTTGCCAGGTTTTTATGAACTTTATATTATAGATTTATATCAATAATGTCTCGGACAAGTTCGAGAATCAGTGCCGATCAATTTTTTTTAAAGAGTTATGCCCCTTGGAAATATTAATGATATGGAAAGTTGCCTTGTGAGCGCTCTGATGTGCTCAATTCTTGCCAGATTTTTATGAAACTTATATCATAGATTTGTATCAACAATGCCTCGGACATGTTCGAAAATCAGTGCCGATCAGTTATTTTTAAAAGAGTTATGCCCCTTGGAAATATTAATTACATGGAAAACTGCATCGTAATCGCTCTAATGTGTACAATTGTTGTCAGATGTATATGAATTATATCAACAGTGTATTGGACAAGTTCAAAAATCAGTGCTGATCAATTATTTTTAAAAGAGTTATGCCCCTTGGAAATATAAATTATATCGGAAATTGCATTGCATTTTCTCTCAAGCCTTCATTTCCCTAATATATTTATAAAAAGTTCAGGTATTGCCATTGGACCATGAACAGATAAAATATATGCAACGCGGTTGACATTGGAACTCTGTTCTTTTCTTGGGTACTGAATGAAAGTTTCCATTATGATGCGAGCTATTTAAATTTTAGACAAACTAATATTTTGGTCCGCGAACTCACGATCCACTGAATATGGAAATATAGTGGGAGTGGGACATTGTGTCCTATTGACACAATTCCGTGTACATTATCATTATTGACTACTTTATAAATGTAACACAGTAGATATCAATCTGATATAGATGTTTATTATAACCTTTTAATGCGTTCACACGAATAGTTATCTTGCTCAAGTTAGTGCATGTGTTTTAGATGCAATTTATTGTGTAATAAGCCTTTGTTAACTCCTTGACCTAAAGTGATAGCTTGTAAGATATGAAAAACATGTTTATGCAATACTTGTTCGAGACACTGATAGAGAAAAATAAGTGGCCTTTTCTATTTTCGGTCAGTGATTTATGAAAATCAATCAACACCGCTATTAAGAGTTAAAACATGCAACTCGTTTTTTTATTTCCTGTTACTACGAAAAAAAGTTAATAAGGCGAAATAGCGATTTTTTTCCACTTGTTTTTTTTTTCATTCCATTTATCCTTTCTTCCATTAATTTCTATTTATCTATTTATTTTTAGGCGGAGTGCCACAATTTTACCTTAAGTTCAGCATATTTACGGATCCAACCTTTGAAGACATATATAAACCATATAAACAACGAAAACCTATCTAGCGTCAACAAACAGATTGAAACTCATTTCCAGGTTTCAGGTATTTAAGAACTCTTTAGCTAATGAGACATATTTCAATCTCTCCAAAGTATATTTGCCACCCGGATTTTTAGATTAATAACTCGTGTGTACGAAAAATCAAGACGCTCCTTCAAGGACGTAAGATAGATAAAATTTTCCATGACGCTTTGATATTGAGGGCAACTAGTAAAAATCCGTGCCCCGAAAGATAAAGTTCGGAATCTTTTCTTTTCACTCTGGAACCATGGGAAAGGTAAGACATCCGGGGATTTCTTATTTTTCCATAACCTCTAAATTATAATTTGTTAATATTATTGTTAATAATAAATGAACAAAAGATGACAGAGTCTATAAATGTATTTGATATTCTTAAATCACTGTCAGAAAGTTCCGAATAAAGATAAAAATTATTTTGAATTGATTTCATTACAATTTGGAATAGTATAAGATAACGCGAGAAACTCATAAATAATGTCTTGTATTAATGAATGAAAAGAAATTTTACTTAAGTACTATTGCCATTCACAAATTGAATCGATGATTTCTAAAATGTCTAAAGTATTTGCAAAAGGAATTGAAAAGAAAATATTTAGCGCCAAAATCACTGATAACACATATAACAATGATAAAAAAGATTATTTTGCAATGTTCTGTATTGGTAAAAAAAAAAAAAGAACAATAACAAATCTTTTTTTTACAAAAAATTCTACATAAAATACCAAAGAAATACCAAAATAAAATGAAATTCTAAACCAGAACAGGGTACCATTCTGTAGCAACCGAAATATTTTGATCTTTAGAATATCAAATTAATCTTTACATATTTTGTTTATTTATTTATCTATTTATTCGTTTAATATTTGTTTGGTTTGTTTGCCGTTTAGTTTGATTATTAGGTATTCATTATTAATTTCAATGTTCACACTGATTTGATAACTGTATATGATTCATTCATTTATTTCTATCATATATATACATCCGCTGCAGCGGAGGGGTATTTAGATTTACCATTGTCCGTCTGTACGTCCCAAAATTAGTTTCCCATCTCTAACTTTAGTTTACCTGAACCATATGTTATGAAACGTATACCCAATGCTTATTACTACATAACATAGATCAAGTTTGAATTTGGGTGGCATTACTTTTTATCGTTCTAGTGTTATGCCCTTTACATATTGAAAATTGTTGAATATTTCGTTTCCGTTCTCTAACTTAAATTTGCCTCCACTAAATGTTATGAAACTTATACAAAATGCTTATTACCACAAAACTCAGATGAAATTCGAATTTAGTTGGCGTCACTTTAACCGTTATGTCCCTTTATAACGTTATATGCTTATAAGCAAGCGGGAGCATCATCTGTGTCCCATGGACACATTCTCCATTTTTTATTATTTTTTTCTCGTTTTAAAAACGTGTATATTATTTGTATGATCGACTTGCACGTTTCTATTCATTGTTGTGATTGCGCTCATTTTCCGACTTCAAATACATACTATTTTGACATATGATTTCACCAAATATTTAATGGAAAAAGATCGATATTGTATATTAATTCGTGATACTTATACATCAAAACATGCTGTTGCAAATAAAAAGCAGCAAAATAAAAACGCTTTTATTGATGTTTCTTGTTTCAAAGTTACAGTGACACCTTTAAACACGTAGAAGAAGCTCAAAAGTCTCATCGAAATCAATAATGTTTTTTGCTAGATCTAAATCACTCTACATCTGTGCATTTCATACAAATAAGGCGATGTGGTATGATTGCCACTGTTCATGAATCACTCTACATATGTGCATTACATATAAATAAGGCGATGTGGTATGATTGCCACTGTTCATGAAGATGATGGCTATATAAGTGGGCGTCTGTTTGGTTGTGTGGGATGTATAATTTAGCAGTCAAGTCTTATCGGAATGTTGATGTTAAATCCGATGCCTAATAGTACCTCGCTCTCTGCGCGTTTAAGGGCTATTGCAGTAACTCACCTAAGGGTCCAAAGATAGTCTGTTGCAAGGCAAAATGACTGCCCCTATCCAACATTCCCTCCTTTCCATCTGCAGTTCAAATTTCTCGCCCTTCATCCTGGTCCTTACATAACCTATTTTATTAATTGGTAATATGCTTTCATCCTGAATATCTTTAAACAACTGCCACTTGACATCACAATGAGTCAGTCCTTTTTCAAAAGGAACATGATGACATTGAATCATCAGTACCAAGTAAAAGACCAAGAGTCAATGACCCACTACACCAAGAATTGATAGACATAAAAAGGTCTTCAGAGACATCAACCTTAGTGATATAATAAAAACTACCAATCGAACACGCATCGTTTTAGTTTTATTGAATCATATTAAGACACACAAAATTACATGCATTCTGGACTCATGAAAATCTATTGGGACTCACCATTTTTAAAAGTGATGAGTCCCAGGACTCACCATGAACAATTCCTAGTGAGAAACCTGTGACGTTAAGCAAGCAAACATAAAAAAAATAATCGTTTACTAGTATTATATATATAGTCTCGAAAGTCCTGAAGTAAAGTAAAAAACCAAAAGTGAAATTAGTACAACAACACTCCAAAAATAGCACACAATTAATCAAAAAGATAAAGCTACATATATTTGTTTTAAGTAGCAGAAAAAACTCTAAAATATTTCATGTTTGAGTAAAAATGAAGTAGCATTTAATCAGCTACTTATTATTATAATACTTCAAAAGACATTGAATGTCAACTTTTCTGTTGATTGAATTTGTCGCAAATGTTTTGACAAACACACTATCTTAAGTAAACAGGTCATTTATTTTGAAATCTAGTTTGATTATAACAGATTTTTCTGTCGTGGACACGAGTGGCTCAGAAGGTTAGGTTATCTGAAGACGTGTGGTACATGTAAGGGAATGTAAGGGAATGTACCTGAAAGTTTAAAAATCAGGTTAATTGAGCACAAATTTTTCGATCTTATATTTGACCCTGTCCGACCGACATGTTTGGGGATATAATTTATTAACTTAATATAATGTTGTGTCTTAACTGCACCTATGACCTGTTTTAAGCTTTTTAAATACCCTTTTGAAGTTTTATCAGACCAAGATAAGCAACGAGGGTCTGGATTGAAGGGGGTCCTTTATTTTTTTATTCTTTAACTTTTTAAAACATTTTTCTCTATTTTGTATTTATTTTAACCCTTATTGCCTATTCTTAATATTCAAACACTCCGTTATTCTCTATTCCTTCTTTTATTGCCTATTTTTCTCTATTCTTTGTCCTTTATTCTCCACTTTTCCCCCTTGATTCTTTCTTCTGTAAACCCCATCTAGACCCTCATTTATTGATTCAATTATAAGATACAACCGACTTTGTACTAAAACTGTTAAAACTATCAGCTATTCAACTGTCATGATTTATAAGTTTGAATAGTGAAATTTAATACATAACATTCTAATGTTAACACAAAAAGTGAAGTTCTTTTATTACGTAATTGTTTGAACCATGCTCTGAACGAACTTTTGTTTTATAGTACAGGGTTAATCTACATTACATAATATTCGATTAAAAAAATGCAAGTTAATAAAATTGATCAAAATTTACGTTTCGGGTATACACATGAATGTATCCACACAACAATGTACCTGTTACTAAGTTTGATTTTACTGTATCAATAATTCAAAATCATATTACACAGGGGCCTCGGTGGACGAGTAGTCGAACTACTGTATCACTAGCCTGTCAACACAGAGGTTGTGAGTTCGAATCCCGAACGTGGCAGGTTCGATCGCCTCCAAACTAAATTGACTAGGATTGTCAGTTTTCCTACCGAAAGTCGGTGGTTCTCTCTGGGTACTCCTGCTTCCTCCACGAAATAGCAAAATAGTTCTGAAAGGGTCGTTAAACATCAATAAATCAAACAATCAATCAATCATATTACACAGCATTTGAAAAAACCATTGAAAGTTCTTTATAAAAATAACTGCGTGTTGTACTTTTCGTCACTCTTTCCCTTTGAAAACTTAACTTGTCTCTATTGTCGGCAAGTCGCCTTGTCTAATTGATGTATTATCGAGCAAATATGCACGGGGTTTTTGAATGGAGTTTACAGAATACAGAATATAATGGATAAACAAATACAGCAAAATGGGCTAAAATATAATTACTTAGATAATAATGGCTAGCTTAAACAACTGAACTGATTAAAAATACTTCTGACTTAACAGCTAAGCTGATCTCAAAGCGAAGCGTTTAAACAGTACAGAGGGTGGTAAACTTGTTGGTAATGGAACACAAAGCCATAAAAGACATGAAAAAGATTGATTTATTGTTAGTGTTTAACGCCACTTTCAGCAATAATGGCTATAATGTGGCGGTCAGTTTTTATTGTAGGAGGAATCCGGAGTGCCCGGAGAAAATCATCGACCCTCGAAAGAAAAAATGAAAATCCCAGTCAACTAAGATTGGAGTCGAACGCAACTGCTACGTGCGGGGTTCGAACTCACCACCTCAGAATCGACGTGCTAGCGATACAGTATATGAATATTTACACAGATCAACCCACCTTCCCCCGGCAAAGAGTGTTTCGGTGTATATGTCAATGAGACATATATCCTACGATACAACAATCAAGATGTATTACCGTTTGCTCCTGAAAATTTAGCAAAGTTGTATACAACTCTTCGTAACAATCCCCCCCCCCCCCCCCTATAACCATTGGAACTATTGTCTTAATTGCAAAATAAATGTCTTATATTTATTTAGGAAGTAGAAAGACAAGCATGGAGTAACAAGGTAGAATTCTTCCTGTCTTGTGTTGGATATGCTGTGGGTTTGGGAAACGTGTGGAGGTTTCCTTATAAATGTTACAGGAACGGAGGAGGTTAGTTTTATAATACAACGATAAACTTATATTTACATACAAGCCAACAAAAGTAACAATAAAAAAATAAGTATGAACTAGAATTTATCATAAAACATAATAAATAGAAAAAAAAAACACCGTTAAATTATCCCATGCAAAATTTTCATTTGAGAAAAGTGTTCCCATGATTCAGAAAATGCGACAGTTAGTAATCAATCAATTATATGTGATGCAATTAAAAAATTATCAGCCGTGTTTAAAGGTCAAATATCGGTTTTTAAATGTTGAGTGAAAACAATATTTTTAAAATTAAGAAATTGCAAATGAACATTTTCTCGGGTTTTTTTGCCTGAAATCAATCGTTTTTATTAGAAAACAACTCTCTGTCAACATTCATACAATTGAGCAATTTATAGCAGGGTATCGTGTATCCAATTCCATTTAATATGCAAAATGCATTTTCTTGTATCATTTTTGTTGTTGACTAGTATATATATTAATTTTATTATGGTTCGTTTTGTTCACTATTTGCTTTTAAATATATCTACAGTCGAACCCCGATAAATCAAAAATGAAGCGACCTATCCGAGGTTCGAGTCATCCGAGGTCGCGAGTAACATCATGTTTTCCCATTTCAAAATTCTTCGACTTATCAGAGTTTCGGCACAACCGAGTTCGACACAAAACGAGGTTTGACTGGACACGTAATAATCGAAAATACTGAATTTCCAATGTATGTTATAGAAATAAAATAAACGGTACTAATTTTGCTGCACCAGATGCGCATTTCGAAAATCAATGTCTCATCAGTGATTCTCGAGGCCAAAATATCTGAAAATCCAAAGCTTATTAAAAAGATGAAGAGCAATAAACCAAAAAGGACAAACAAGTATAGCCAAAGCCGAGCAAGGAATCAGGGCTTTGCATGAGGGAGATATATTCCTTAATTAAAAATAATTTCCAAAATTTTGTAACAGCAAATGTTAATAACACAAAATCCGTATTTTCATTCCAGTACCGAAGTACTGACTACTGGGCTGGTGATACCCTCGGGGACTATCAGTCCACCAGCAGAGGCACCGGCCCAGTGGTAGTTATATCATAAACGGTACCAATAATATTTTTTTCTTTGATTTCTTTTAGGTGCATTCCTAATTCCATATATTCTTATGTTGGCATTGGTTGGGCTACCATGCTTCTTCCTAGAACTAGCATTTGGACAGTTTGCATCATTAGGACCATTTACCATCTGGAGAGCTAGTCCTCTATTCAAAGGTACATTTGTACATAACATTGTAATCGTTTATCGATCGCAACAATATACGATATAAAGCAAATCGAGCTTGTTAATTGAGGCGCAGAAATTGAGGAAAGGGCGACATTTATCGAGCAGCTTTTTTGCCGAAAACAAAATGTTTCAGACATTGATCTAATATTGTCTTTTTACTGTAAATGTAAAAGGCTACAATAATATCAATTTAAGTAAACACAAAACTAAAACACAAATAAAAATGACAAGCGATGTAGGACAAACATTAATGAAAAAGCAAACCAACAACACTACACAGACATTTTGTATGGTCTAAAGACATTCGTTCCATTACAACTTTCTTTGTGCTTGATCAGTCAATTGATATTTCGATAATGTATGCCTTCCATTGAATTTATTAGAATGATACGATTGGTCAAGATGTTGTTACAAGAGTTTTAACATTAACTTTCATATCTCGATAAAATACAATTTATGACGGTGAATCATTGACGATATTCAAATACATTTTTAGAATGTATTACCGCCGAAAGATACAATTTTTATAATACGTTTTTAAAAACTTTTGACTTATGGAAAGAAAACAGAAACTTTTTATATGAAATTGGTATAATCATTCAGAAATAAGTATTGTTCTAAAGTTGTTTTATTCGTGTTATAAATAGCGTGTGCAGAAGCACAGTTTGAGTACAAAAAGAGATCATGCTTCGGTCCACAGTTTCACAGGAATGCTTATAAATCCTAAATCCTTAAAATGATTTCAACTCTCATGTAGCATCTCTTATTGTGGACGTTGATTTGTTTATTTGTTTATCTTTTTTAGGAGTTGGTTTTGCCTCCATTGCGTTATCTACCCTTGTGAGCATCTATTACAACGTGATAATAGCCTATGCCTTATTCTACATGCTTGTGACGTTTGTCAGTTTTGATGGCGATGTTCCCTGGGCTACTTGCAACAATCCGTGGAACACTCAATTTTGCATTACAGAATCGACCAGAATAACAGACGATATGAATGAAACACAGAAACTAAATATAACTTTAGGTATCATAATAGTTATAATGTAATTGATAACAAGTGTATGATCTGCTTACCACGGTTTCTTTGGATGGTAATTTTTACCAAACAGCCAAAATTGCATAAATATGTAGTGATTTTTCTACAATAATTATTCTTTTGTTTATATGTAGAGAGTCTTCCTCTAGTCACTCAAAAGACTTTAAGCTATTTCAGGGGGACACTCCACACAATTAACCTGTTAGGTTATTTTAAAATTTATCTAAAATTTACAATTTAAGAGCTCCTTGTGTCTGTGTACTTTAAGATTCATACAATATCTTGACTTAGTAAACTCTGAAAAGATGATCAAAATGAAAAATGCACGAAGAGAAAATATGAGTTTAGCTCATAACCTTAATTCTAACAGATTTGTAAATTGTTGAGTATTCATACCAACAAATTTGATAAAAAAGACATTCTTCACCAAATTCGAATTTCTGCAAGTGTATGTACAATTTTGAAGTGTTTTTCGGATACAGATAAATTCATCTTGGTTAAAGATGTCCTTCGATGCAAACGTTTGGGTATATGGTATATAATCTATAACTTATACAGAAAAAAAATACAAAAGCAAATGGTTCTAACTGTCTTAAATAGGAACGCATGATATCGTTTTATCATGCCACGCCTACGATAGTTTTCTAGTCTGTGCGTTGGTTCGTTCCGTATCAGGTTTACGTATTTATTTAAGGTAGCTTACAATGAAATCGTGACGACATAAACTCGAAACTATGCTAACATGTTCAAACAATATAAACTTTTTTAAATAGTGTATACAAAATAGGATTTTGACCATAATTTCGAGGAGTTGTGATTAAACGAGCTTGGAATGGTGTCCAGTGAACACATATTCTTGGTTAGTCAGTGACACTTAATATTAGAGGTTTCTCAACATCTTACGAAAGAACGAAAATTGCCCTAACTTCACGTAACTTGCCGTAACGAGAAAAGTGGGAGCAGTAATTTATTTAATAATATTGGACTATCGGCTGTGTTCTTCTTCCCTTTGAAATGTCTTTTATATATAAAAAAAATATATATACATGCTGTATTTTTTAAGACCATTTTGAGTCGTTGACATATTATATTGACTTGATATGTATTATATATAATATACAATTTACGGTTCAATCAATGACAGTTGAAAATCTAATTGATCAAAAAATTTTGGGGAGGATATAAAATATTTAGACCATGGACAGCAATCGTGCAAGAGATTTTGATAAGCATGACAACATCATTTCGAATTTTTTAGTACATATATATGTGAAAAAGGGTAAATGTAGGACTTTGGAATGGAATGGGATAGGAATCTTTTTTAATCTACTCAAGGATCAGATCAATGGGAGAAGGTCTTTCGCAAACATGAGTTAAAACAAATCTAGGAGTGAATTCCTCTAGTTTTTAATTTGAAACAAAAAGAAAACATCCTCGGATCCGGGGTAACTTCGTTGCCCCAACTTTAAAATCTACATGATCACTTCTTCACCATAAATGATTATTAGTGATATAATTCTAGCTAAACTGGTAAACTCAGGAAGATAAATAACGGGAAACATTGAAATAAATATTTGAAAAAAAAACAGTTAAAAACCTTAAAAAGATATACTGTAATGTATTTAGTTTTTGGGATTTTTTTTCATGGCCATTCTTATTCTTTTTGTGTATGTTTTATTATCGTATAAATTTTAGTAAATATATAATTAATTTTGTTTTCTTGTTTTTGTGGAGTTTTAATGGCATGCTGTTTATATATTTTCTTCTGTTATTATTTTTCTATTTTTTTTTTTTTTACTTAGGGAATGGAATTTTAGAAAAATGTACCTTTTAAAATAATATGTAACTATCAGTGCTGTAGCACTCATACTTTTAACAAGAATACACAAAACTCTATTACTTTACGATTGATCGAGTGCTCCTTTATATTTCTGTAACCTTTTCCCAATAGATAATATTCTTTTAACAAATAGCGGTGTTCACGACATATTTATCCAAGATACTCGTCGTGAAATTCATGGAATACTTGCCACTAAACGTTAAACATCCAACAATCAATCAATCAATCAAATACAAACCAGACGCGCCGATTGTTTTTAACATTAACATAACATAATAATGTTTTTTTTTAAATGGATAAGGGAGATAAATCGAACGCATATACGACATGTAAACAAACGAAACTCAACGTAAGAATACGCAACATTCAACAACAGAAAATAAATTGGAACACTGATGTTTAACCACAAAAATAAAACGCAAGGTTGCAAAAAGACTATGAAATTGATAACTGTTGTCTTTAAACACGCTGCAATATCGGTAGAAATTTATGGTGGATTTTATTTTAACAAAATTACTGCTCCTTAAAATACGTTCGTAAAGTTTCGTCCGTTCGTATGATGTTGATTGATTGATTGTTGGTTGCTTAACGTCCAGTGGCAAATATTTCATGCATATTCAGGACGAGAACAAGTTCACAATAAATACAATAGGTAGGTTCTGCAATAGATTAAGGGATTAAGGTCGGAGAAATTTAGACTGCCACGGGAAATGAGGGTATATTGGATAGGGACAGAAATTTAGCCTTGCAACAGGTCACCTACGGACCCCTCAAAGAGTTGTTGCAAGGGTTCTTAACGTGCAAAGAGCGTGGCACTCTCTTTACACGAGGCATCGGATTTAACGTCCCCATTCTGACCGGACGTGGCTGCAAATTTGTACATCCCGCACAGCCAAACGGACGCCCCACTTTAGCACGGGTTTTACTGCCGGTCGGAGGAAGACCAATGGTGACCATACTTCTATACCCCAGTCACCCTTGGGGGTCGTATGATGTTGAGAAACCTCTACTATAAGCTAACATTAAGGTGACGAGAGAAGAACGCAAAGTCAAAATTACGATTACAAATCGTATATAGATCTCACCAAACGTCTTAAAACATTTTACTTATTTGTAGGTCGTATGAATACCACATGTGTGGATAACATTTTAAATATGGGTGGCATGAATTTTACTGACCTGTCCTACAACTTTACACAGACAAATCTATCAACATGCAGCTATGTAGGACGATATAAACTTCCCAGTGACGAGTATTTCAGGTAAATTACAGCAACAGAGGATTATTATGCTTAAGTGAATGTTATTTTTTATGTGTTATTATGAATAAGTACTAATCTAACAATATGCTGCTATGCAGAACGTTACAAACTTCCCAGTGACGGATATTTCAAGTAAAGAGCCAGACAAAGACTTTTTCTCACTTTTCAGTGTTAAATGTACTGATAAAAAAGCTATCCTTGTAAAGTTCACTTTTTTACTAATACTCTCCTTTTTTACGTCATTGCTGTGAAAGTGTGCATAAGACGCAGTTTTTTTTTATTGTACGCTACGATTCTTTCGAAGAGTTAACCATTTTATGAAACAATATTTTCTATTTTAATAACCAATATTACGATATTCAGACTCACTGTCTGAAGATTTATAAATATGGGAATACACATACTTTTTCAAGTTATATTAAAAAGTTCAATGTTCATATTCACCGTCTACTATTTTGTATAATATCTTCAAACGATTCTCATGACCACGCTTAGTCCTGAGTTTATACACACTTTCTCGCAGAAAGATGGTCGGTTGAATCAATTTTAACCGATCGTCAATACCCCAATTTGTATACTACAGAAATACGTCTGGTCTATGAATTAAGCTTTTTTGTTTTATATTATTCTGAGAAATTGGTACGTCACACCGATCTAGATTTGAGAAACGTTTCCTTTTTAATCAATCAATGAGCGTAAATACAATGTCACATGTCCAAGAAGGACCAACGTCACGAAAGTGCATAAAAGACAAAAAAAAAAGTCCACAAATTGAAGCACAGCAGTCCAAAGATTTCATGCATACACTTTTTAATTAAAGTGACTAAAACAAGACGTGTTTACGAAACTTTAGATTAATAGTTATGCTTTTTTCAAGTAACGTTGGTAAATAAGTGTTTAAATAATTTATGTGCATAGACGTCGAGTGTAAAATATACATTTCTCTGAAATGCAATAATCCTGATTTTGGACTTTGTATTTTGTTTTTGTGTTTTGTGTTTTGTGTTTTGTGTTTTTCATGACGCTTTTATTTCAGCATTTCTTGGAGAACGTTTTGTACTTGACGTTGTCATGACAGCCATGGCGACTGGAGCTCTCGGTCTAATTTGATATTTGTCTTTCAGTCGGTATGTTTTGAGACTACATGAAGCCACTGATTTTGGTGACGTAGGGGGCATCAGTCTGAAGTTGGCATTGACCTTGCTTCTAGCATGGATTTTTGTCTTCTTTGCTTTAAAGAATGGAGTGAAATCGTCCGGAAAGGTAACGTATGACCATATATCAACCTCCCCTAAACGGTGACGGGTGAACACTTTATTTATCATCATTAATAAAATAGCAAGAATTGTTTTGATAATTGTTGTTACGTCATTTTCTGTCACGTGATGATTTTAGCAGACGACTATCGATGTCGTAAATATGACTTGACCGAAAAAGTCTTTGAATTTGCCAGGAGTAAATGATGCAACAACAATTCTTAAAACAATTCTCTTTAAGGTTATTGCTTTTGCTATGCTTTATCGTCCTCTTAATTTACTTATTTCAGATCATCTATTTTACGGCTCTTTTCCCTTACGTTGTGTTGGTAATTTTGCTAATAAGAGGACTTACATTAGATGGGTACATGGAAGGGATAAAATTCTACGTCATACCAAAGTGGGAGAAACTGGCAACACCTCAGGTATTGTTTTTATAGTTTAACCATTCAATTCTCATAATTATGAAAGATCATAATTTACAATCAATGAACAATATGAGCAATTATAGTTCAAAGAAAAATTACTCTTTATTCCTGTATGACGTTTATTTGATAAAGCAAAAACTTTAATGACATAAGAAAAAAAAACCAACCAAAAATGGGTTAACTTACATTTATTTTACGTTTGTATATAAATGTAGGTACCAGGTGAAATTATGCTGTTTTAGCCTTTATTGAATACATTTTAATTGACATTTTACAAAGCACGTGTACAAAAAATGTACGTGCATCTGCCATTATGATATCATTCTGTATTCTTAAGTTATGAATCAAATATTATCTTGTTATCTTACTTTAATGGAGGCTTGGTTGGACAGTAAAATACATTCATATTCAAACAGGTATGGGTAGATGCTGCATCACAAATTTTCTATTCGCTTGGACCAGCATTTGGAAGTTTACTAACCATGGCAAGTTATAACCAATTTAAGAACAACTGTTACAGGTAAAATTATAATATACTTCCTACAATTACCTCCCTTTAGCAGAGTCCCTACTGGAGACCATTCAAATTGTAAGCTCCAGATTTTAAAGGAGGCACTATAATACCTCATATTTGTGAATTTATAGAGCATGCAGCTAGCAAATATTTTACATTATATCAAAGAACATGTACACAAACATCATTCTGATAAACCGTGAATGTTTTAACAACATAATCACAATGGGCTCATGTTGTTATTAAAAATGAGAACAAAAGAGCAACTTCTTGCTTTAAATGAAATAAATCTTTTTGTTCAATAGATTTCGAACAGAAAAGTTGTTTTTGCCGTGTTTCCTGCCAACACGTCAGAATTCCCCATATTATGTTTTTTCAGTCGATCCTGAAATTCAATTTGTTTTACGTTCTTCCATGGACATACTCCTCAGTCCTTGCTTTAAAAGACACTCATTCGTCCTCGAATTTATTCCAGGGACGCCATACTGGTTGCCGTCATCAATTGTGCAACCAGTGTATTTGCGGGTTTTGTAATTTTTGCTGTGCTCGGATTCATGGCGCACGTGACTAATCAAGAAGTCGGCGATGTTGCAACTGGAGGTAACTTTAATAAATTATTATGGTCTTATTATTCAGAGGCGGGTGAAGGGGAGGGGACCAGAGGGCCCGGTCCGCCCTTATGCTTCATATATGATACAATCAAGTGATTGATTTTTTTAATTCTACTTCTAAAATTCATTTACGAACTTTTCTTAACATTTACTATTAATTTTTGCACCAATGTCATTATTTACGTATTTTGCCGGAAAACCGTAACTGCAAGAATAAAACACTAAGTAAAACATCAACATGAAATTGAATTTATGAGTCAAATTTGACAGGTAAATTCAGAATTCTGTGAAAGTAAAGGCCACTGGAAAAAAAATTCGCTCGAAATACAATATTGTCGTTACATGTAACATGAAAAGACAATGAAAAATGTTGTGAGTTTCATCGCCGGGCGTGACGACTTAAATGATCACGTGGTACATGATTTTACCTCTTGCATGAATTCAATACCTGCTGGATTTTAGGCTTTGATTCTATATTGTTTTGTTATTATAATTCCATTTTGTTTGAAGAAACATTAAAAAAAGTGTTGTATACTATATCGTTTTAAAGGATTTGTATTTGTGAAAATGAAAAATGAAAAAAAAACTATACAGCAAACGGTAGTTTTTATTGATTTTGATGTTGCAAATATTTGGAGAATCTACAAATACGACAACCGCGAATTCTATAAATACTTATATGATGTCGCTAAGCAAGTTTATATGAACGAAACGATATTGGGTATGTGCCTGAGGCTGCAAACTATAAAAAAAAAACAAAAAAACTAAGAAACATTCAGATATGACAAAGTCAAATAATGATGAGGTTAACAGAGTACTACTTCTGTTTAATATTTACAGGTCCTGGGCTTGTATTTATCGCCTATCCAGAGGGTATTGCCAGGATGCCTTATCCACCGATCTGGGCATTTTTGTTCTTTTTTATGTTGCTTTCATTGGGAATGTCAAGTCAGGTAAGCACATTTAAAATCTATATTAATATTTACATTTAAAAATTAAACAAAAAATTAATTGAAAAAAATAAACAAAAAACCAAATGGTCAATCGGACAGACAAATCTATGCTCTGCTCTGCGTTTTGTCCTTTTTATTGATTCTGTGCAGAAATATTTTTTAATAAAACAGTAGCAGTGATAACATACACAAATGTTCTAATACCTAAAAAAATGGGTAAAGATGGAAAAGGAACACATAAACATGTAGCATGGAATTTGGTATAAAAGCTAATGGTATTATAGTCATGTTCTAACTTTTACAGTAACGCTGTTAATAGAGCCCTTAAATTCAAATACGATCCTTTTAAACATACTAATCCTTTAATTAAGCATAATCTTAAAGGTTATGCATTTAAAATTGTAGTATATCTATATGAATATTGTTTTTATTATACCCCACGCAACGAGTTGCGGAGGGTATAATGTTTTTGACCCGTCCGTCCGTCTGTCCGTCCGTCTGTCCGTCTGTCCGTCCGTCTGTCCGTCCGTCCGTCTGTCCGTCTGTCCGTCCATCAGTCCGTCAGTCCTGTTTCTTGTCATCGCAACTCCTCTCAAACCACACAACAGAATTTCACGAAACCTTTTTAGATAATAAGGACATACTATGTAGTTGTGCATATCGACAGGAAATTACGATTCAATTCTTTTTCTAGGAGTTACGCCCCTTTGAACTTATTTTCTTTAATGTACTACTGCAACAGTTTGTCATCGCAACTCCTCTCAAACCACACAACAGAATTTCATGAAACCTTTTCAGATAATAAGGACATACTATGTAGATGTGCATATCGACAGGAAATTACGATTCAATTTTTTTCCAGGAGTTACGCCCCTTTGAACTTATTTGCCCAATATACTACTGCAACCTTTTGTCATCGCAACTCCTCTCAAACCACACAACAGAATTTCATGAAACCTTTTCAGATAATAAGGACATACTACGTAGATGTGCATATCGACAGGAAATTACGATTCAATTTTTTCCAGGAGTTACGCCCCTTTGAACTTATTTGCCCAATATACTGCTGCAACCTTTTGTCATCGCAACTCCTCTCAAACCACACAACAGAATTTCATGAAACTGTGTAGATTATAAGGACATACTATGTAGATGTGCATATTGACAGGAAATTATGATTCAATTTTTTTTTCTGATACATTGTTTTTTTCTTACACTTATTTTATTTCTCCAATGACAATGTGGGGACGTGGGGTATGTGAGCGCGCTCACTAAGGTTCTCTAATTGGTACTAATATTGATTTTGTTTTTCATAATTTATTGTTAACTGAATATGTATTGCTTTGCAATTATGATCCCTTACAGTCTGCTCTTACATCCTGTCAATATTTATATTTTGTCATTTCACAAGGTCATGATTTTCTCAGACTGTTCATTATGTCTGTACACTAAATCTGTTGGATTCGTCCTGGTTGATATTTTAGTCTAAGAGAACATGATTTTGTTAAGTATACATATATATGAAATTGGCTTTTAACTAGCTATAGCTATCAATAATTGAGGGTACTTTGTTTGTTTTTTCTTTTAATTATTTCCATGTGCTACGTGTCGACCTGATAAGTCAAGGACTTTCCAAATTATCTATACATTTCGTTCATAGTGTGTGGTGTCCGAGATCAGTCGCTGAGTGCTCGCAAACATTTTCTCTCTGCATGTCTTAGGTCATTTTTGTAATTTTCTGTCGTTGGTTGGTTATAAGCCATACTTGTTTTATGCGTTTATTGGCCATGCTTAAACCAGGTCGACGGTTTTGTTGTTTGAATTGCTTCACATTTTGTTATGACCTGGCCTTTTATACATTTTGTTTAATAAACGGTATTGTTATAAGCTCATTATTGAAAGTCGTATGGTGACCTATAGTTCCTAAACATCCACATTCTTCGGACTCTGGTGTATAATAAAATTGAGAATGGAAATGGGGAATGTGTCAAAGAGACAACAACCCGACCATATAACAGACAACAGCAGAAGGTCACCAACAGGTCTTCAATGCAGCGAGAAATTCCCGCACCCGGAGGCGTCCTTCAGCTGGCCCCTCAACAAATATATATACTAGTTCAGTGATAATGAACGCCATACTAAACTCCAAATTGTACACAAGAAACCAAAATTAAAAATAATACAAGACTGACAAAGGCTAGAGGCTCCTGACTTGGGACTGGCGCAAAAATGCGGCGGGGTTAAACATGTTTATGAGATCTCAACCCTCCCCCTATATCTCTAGCCAATGTAGAAAAGTAAACGCATAACAATACGCACATTAAAATTCAGTTCAAGAGAAGTCCGAGTCTGATGTCAGAAGATGTAACCAAAGAAAATAAACAAAATGACAATAATACATAAATAACAACAGACTACTAGCAGTTAACTGACATGCCAGCTCCAGACTTCAATTAAACTGATTGAAAGATTATGTCTTCATCATATGAATATCAGGCACAATCCTTCCCGTTAGGGGTTTAGTATCATACCATCATAACATATATGAGAAGAACATAACCCGTGTCATGCCAACAACTGGTTTTTAAATAAATGTGTTTAGTGCCGATGCAAAGACCTTATAAGGGAATCAATACTAACGCCAAAATATGCAATCTTTAATGACCTGACAACAGTATCGTAACTATATCCCTTCTTAATAAGTCTATTTAAAGGTTTTGTTAGCTTCAGAGGTGAATACTGACATTTTTGTGCTTTATAAAGAATATTTCCATAAAAAATTGGATGTGAAATACCTGAACGTATAAGAAGTCTGCATGTTGAGCTATATTTACGAACGATGTCCTTATACCGATGATAAAATTTAGTAAATGTTTTGACTAGTTTGTGATATCGAAAACCCTGGTGTAATAATTTTTCAGTAATACATAAATTTCTCTCGTTAAAATCTAAAACATTGTTACATACACGAGCGAATCGTACAAGTTGAGATATATAAACACCGTAAGATGGTGACAAGGGAACGTCACCATCTAAAAATGGATAATTAACGATAGGAAATGAAAAAAACATCTCTTTTATCATATATTTTAGTATTAAGCTTTCCGTTAATGATATAGATATCAAGATCGAGGAAAGGGCAGTGGTCATTGTTAGTATTAGCTTTATTTAAAGTAAGTTCAACAGGATAAATTTCTTTAGTATACATACTGAAGTCGTCATTATTGAGAGCCAAATATCATCCAAATATCTAAAAGTATTATTAAATTTGTGTATCAGATGTTGTTTCGATGGGTCTTTGCTGATTTTTGTCATAAATTGTAACTCATAGCAATACAAAAAAAGGTCCGCAATTAGTGGTGCACAGTTAGTCCCCATTGGAATTCCGATAACCTGACGATATACGGAATCTCCAAAGCGAACAAAAATGTTATCTAGTAAAAATTCAAGGACATATATAGTATCAAAGCATGTCCAATTGACATAGTTTTTTTTGTTTATTGCTACTAAAAAATGACTTAAAAGAGTTTGAACATATATATTCACATTCTGACTTTTTAAATGCCCATTTAATTAGGTGTGTGAATTTTTTCTTAATGAGAATGTGAGGCAATTTGGTATATAGGGTAGAAAAATCAAAACTTTGAACAGATTCAAAATCACCAATATATGCATGCAATTTATCAAGTACTTCCAACGAGTTCTTGACACTCCAAAAGTAATTAATTCCACTATTTTCGAAGGCCTTATTTGAACAATTTATTATCAGGTTTTTGATTGTACCAAGTGTACTGGTAAGAAGAATAGACAATTTAGTAGTGGAACAATGGCTTGAAGACGAAATGAATCTATATTTGTAAGGTGTTTTGTGTAGCTTCGGAAGCCAATACATAGTTGGGACTTTCATTGTATTTGGTTCTGCTTGTAAATATATAATACATATAATAGTTGTCTCATTGGCATTCAAACATGATTTCCTAATTTCAATATGTATAAATATTCGTTTCCTTTTGTCAGATTTAGCAATTGTGAACCCAACTTTAGGAGACCGTCGATGGAATACAGGAAAACTGAGGAGGATATAATTTTGGTTGAATAAAGGAAAACTTAGTTTGAGATAAATTCATGTTGAATACAGGAAAACAGAGATTGAGATAAATGCCAAGATGAAAACAGTCAAGTATAAATGGGTCTTTTTGAAATGTATTCATGTTCCCTTAAAAGATGTACATAGTAAAGATGTTAGACCGAAAAGTCATTAATTATATATTAACTGTTGTAAATATTTATTTTCAGTTTGCAATGGTAGAAGCCATCATTAGCGCTTTAGCTGACGAATTCCCAAGTACCCTCAGGAGAAATAAAGCAAAACTGTGTGCTGCAGTTTGTCTTGTACTTTTCTTGTGCGGCCTGCCTTTAGTGACAAATGTAAGCGATTTCATTTTTCGTTTTACATTGATTACAGCAATTTATGGATTATTAATTCATATTAATTTATATATAACCGCAGATAGTTTGTGTATATTGTAATTATTTTCATTTTCTTCTTAAATCCATTGTTTTAATATATTTGCCGTATTATCGTTTTTAATCGCACACCTGATTGTAGCGGACTTTTTGCGATATTCATAGATTATAAATAAATGATATTTCACTCATTCCTCTAAATTTTTGTTTTCCAAATAAATGTGCATCTCTTATACAGTGCACATGTACATAATGACATGTTGTTTAGTTTGAGAAAGGAGATCTTTGTATCAAATGACAGAATACTAAATACTATTATGTGTTGGCGGTCAAGTAATGAAAGAAGTTCGAAAAAAATTTTGTCATTTGTTGTATACAGTTTATTAAGTTAGTTAAAAACTCACCCAGAAATTATTGACGACTTTTAATGATGAACACCAGGAACCGTTTTAATAATAACATGCTAGCTCTTTAGTTCACAGTTAAGTCATCAATACGCTATTTGACTGGGGACCTCGGTGGCCGATTGATCTAAGCAGTTCAAGTACTGTATCACTAGCCTGTTAACACTGAGATTGTGAGTTAGAATCCTGCACGTGGCAGGTGCGTTCGACTTCAATCTTAATTGACTAGGATTGCCAGTATTCCGGTCTCTGGGCACTCTGGCTTCCTTCGCAAATAGAAGTGGCCGCCATTAAATAGCTTATAGTGCTGAAAGTGGCGTTAACATCAATAGATCAATCAATCACTATTTGAACTGCAATGCCACAGTCGTCTTTGATTAAAAATCAAATATCACATGATATTATTTTCATATATATTGTCTTTACAGGGTGGTATTTGGGTGTTAACATTAATGGATGACTACTCCGGGAGTTATTCTTTGTTGTTTGTGTGTATGGTAGAATTAATCGCTATAGCATGGGTATACGGTAAGTTAGTACAGTCTATAATGCAGTAAAGGCATTTGAAAACCGGACAAAAATTTAAAGGATACCGCGAGACATGGGTGATTTAAGAACCATAACCCCAAAAAAACAGACAGAAAACATCATATTTAAAAGAAATAAAAGAAACTGCAATGTTAAGTCACCCATAGTGTACAGAGAAAGCGAAAGAAATGCAGATGACATGCTGTTGGGATGTTCGATATAGGAGGCTAAAAAGTGGGATGTGAGATATAGGGACAAACAAGTGGGATCTGGGAAAAAGAAGGGAAAAAAAGGTTGGAAGTAGAGAAAAAAATGAAATAAAGCTAGATTTTTGAGATGAGCAATCCCGTGTCACCTCCCTCTGGAAGGTTGAGGCAACACGTACATGTACCTCTCTAATATTTGGACTATTCCACAAATCACATGAACATCACTGTTATAAACATGACACACATTTGAAACATTTTTGTAGAGTACAAACAATTGCATTTTCTCAGAAATTAGGTATTTTTAAATAGTTTAACTATATCATAGAATCTCACAAAATCAAATTTATTCAACCGTAATAGTTAAATGCGCATGCTCTTAACTTTCAGGTCATAATAGATTTTTAGAAGATGTTTACATGATGTTGGGATTCAAGGTGAATTATTACTGGGTTGCGATGTGGAAGTTTGTTGCTCCTGTTATAATTGTGGTAAGTAGGTGTTTGTTGTGTGTTTGTTTGTGTGAATATATGTATTAAAACATACGTTTTGCAGTCTGGTTAGGACAATCATGTATTGCAACAATCTAAATCATATTTTTGATTTTAATTTTATCAATATGATGGGTTTTACAGATGGAGTGTGGACTGCTTACCCTTTCCGGATCACTTCAGTGTTTTATCAGGCCTTGCTTAGTCTTATCTTTATTCTTACGTCTGATGTTTTTCGGATAATTTTCTATGTTTATTGGTGGCTTTTGGAGCTACAGATATTTCATGTATAATATTTTAATGCATTATGGTATTTTCGTAATATATTTTAAATGTCAATCTCAACAGAAACAATGTTTAATGTCCAAACACTTTAATCATTAATTGTACAATATATCCGGTTTTGTATACTAATTTTATAGGTTTGTTTGATTATAAAACACACGCGAATTATCCAATAAATCAAAATTGATGCTTTGACATAACATTTTGGTAAGGTTTAAAACTCCATATTAATTGTCTTTGCACATAAAAGTCTGATATTTGCATATCAATGAACCCTTGCAACAACTATTTTAGTGGCCAGTAGCTTGCCAGTTGCAAGTTCTGTCCTTTCAAACGTACCTCGTTTTCCGTTGTCTGACGAAGTGCTTGGTCGGGCGACTTTGCAGGACCTTAATGTACTTCATTGATTTATTGTGATGTCTAATTTTTTCACACTCAGAAAATGCATAAAAATAAAGGATCAGTCTTCCAAGATATGAAAACTCTCTCATTTGATAACAGGGCCAATTCATGCCTGTTTAAAGAATTGTCAATGAATGTTTACCCATAACCATAAAACCTCGATTCCTCACCTTCGCCAATAAGATAGCAGAAGAAATGGAGATACTAAATAGCATTACCTCTAATTGCTATCCTTGCTAGCTTTATCCATCACTTATTGCGACTTTTTACCGAATTATAACTTGTTTTGAGCAACACGACGGATGCCTCTAGTGACACAATAACTTATCATGATTCATGAGCCTCTGAGCTCACCTTCAGTTTTTGGTGTTGTTCGTGTTCCTTATATTTCAGTTGTGTGGTGTTTTTTTTTCATCAGTATGGTAATTATTTTCGTCATTCGTCCTTTGAACATAGTGTTTTCTTCTATATTTCTTCGACTGCTTGTTTTTGCAATTGATCTCCTTCGGTTCCTTTTTGTTAGAAATAAAATATAATATTATCTCTACTTGCCTTTTGGTAACATATAGCTCATAACATATTCAAATTTTAACATTTCTACATCCTTAGCTTTCATTTTGTGTTTTTTTTTGGTTTGAGCGTTCTTGATGTAGGATCATGTAGGTTAATCCAAAAAGTCAATACATTTATAAAATTTAATGTTTTATTCATCTACTAGAACTGGGTAGATACCGCTGCTGGTGGAGTGCTAGTGCCCGAGGGTATCATCAGCTCGGTATAGACAGTGATTTGATGCCAACACGATTGATAAAATACTTTTCTTAAATGTTCCGTTGGTAAATTCAGAAATAATTAAGAAACATTGAGAAAGTTACTATCTCCCTCATGCAAAATTGAACTTAGACATGTTAGATAGATTCTACTATTCTTTTTAGGTGTCTTTTGGTCTTAAAGCACATCTTGTATACAAGTAATTATATAATCTAGGCTTTCACAATTTTTGGTTTGAATACAAAAAAGTGCATAGAGCGCATAAAATTAACAAAGCTTTATTTACATTTGGTATATGTAAATGTCGCCAGCCGATTGTTCAACCAGTCCCTGTTTTCTGTAAGTATCATTATAATTGTAACATTATTTAACCTTTTAATTCGTCAAAGTTTATTAAATTTTATATCTTTTGTTTCATTTTAGTTAATATTGATTGCATCTGGTATACAGTTTTCACCATCAGGATATGGAAACTATGTATTTCCAAACTGGGTTCAGGGTGTTGGATGGGGTCTTGTGTCAATACCGATTGTTCTGCTACTTGGAACCATGCTTATTCAGCTTATTAGATTTGGTGTAAGTCCATACATTAGTAGATTTATTTATAACTTATGTAATAAACTCTTAAGTTTGCCTACTTTTTCCCTCTTTCTCTTTATCATTTATGTGTATAGTAATGATAGTAAATGCATAGGCGGCCGAACGCGTGAGCGATCGTCCGTTCTTCTTTCAAAATGGGAAGGAGATTTCCTTTTTTTATGCAACCGTAACTTGAAAAATTATTGCAGCGCACGTAATAGTGTATGACCTATCAAAATGTGGTATTATTTGCATTTAACCCGCTGCTGATCACCAGTTTTGATAAAAAAAAAAGGCTTAGCTCTAATATGAAACTTGAGTAAACAATGAAGCTTTTCTCACAGCTTTCCAGAGTGCTCAGTAATATTAAGCTTATGTTATAAATATGAAGAGCTAAAAGTCGTAAATATATATGAAGTTACTTCAAGGAAAGTTCATTCATTATGCCTGAAATTGAAAACATGACATGAACTGTCTGACATAAAAATTTTAAAAGTTAGAAAAGTTTTCCAGTATCAATAGTATCAAATGAATGCTAGAGCACATATGAAATCAGTGAATGCAATGATTTTTTATCTTCTATTATTGTTGATATATGATTGATTGATTGATTTTTGGTTTCTCAACATCCAGTTGCAAATATTTCATGCTTGTTCGGGATAAGAACAAATTAACAATAAAAACAATAGGTAGGCCCTGTAATAGAGGCCTCCGGGATGATATTTGATATAATAGAACTGCAATTGTAATAGACTAATATAGAAGGTAATGTTTTACCCGAAGACAACCCTTGGGTTCTGGTATAAACAGACAGGAAATCAGTGAAGTTAATTGTTCACAGCAGTAGTGCAATATATTGTTTACAAAAATTTACTACATACAAAATAAATGAAAAATATATAAAAATAGCATTGTTTATTTAACATATGAAGTAATAATTTCTAGGGTTTTCGAAATGCCTCCAGACCACAGAAAGACTGGGGCCCTGCTTTACCAGAAAACAGAACGGGCCGATATGCAGATTATTTGGAAGTTGTTCATGAAACGAAAAAGGAGGACATACAGAAAAACGGAGTCATTGAAATGGACAAAAACGAACCACATATTGTAGAACAAATAAAGAAAAGACGAGAAATTGCTCATTATAATAAAGGATACGAAATGGACGAAAAGCCAAAGGCCGAACAAAATGGACACACCGTGCAATCTGAAGATGACAAATTGTGATTTTGTTGTAAATGTAAAGACGATATGTTAACTTAAAGTATACTCTGTACATTTGAACTATTGACAGATGTCAATTTCACGAATGTTTAGTGGAAAAAGCATATATAAGAAAATAAGAGGTTTCTGTAAAACTCATAATAAACTGTTGCAATCTACTAAACATTCGATGAACCAGACAAAAAAGCACAAGAATGATTAAATAAAAAATCATGTCTAGATACTAACCTTATGTATAACTTACTCCATTTGATCAATAGTGTCGATCTACGATAACCGAACTTACAAAATTTTGAAACATCAAACGGAAATAATAGCATAACAATTAAAATATTGGACATCTGGAAATGATTTGTATATAAGTACATTTGTATGTTTAATCAAGGAGTCTTTTAGTTTCAAATGTGAAAGTTTTTGGAAGGCTTTAATCATTAAATTAATGTCCAGTGCGACCCATTTTCAGTCCAAATGGAACTTTAAGCTTTTAACACCGTAATTTGATATCCTTATTCATAGTAATACTGTTTCCGAAATTCGCCGAAGAATTTTGAAGTTTTCCGAAGTTATGTTATAAGGTATGAGTTTGGATTCACACCGTGGGCATTGTTTAGTGGTATTACATACATTATATTTTAAATAAACTCATCATAGATACCAGGAATAAATTTCAATACCACTTTTTGTCTGTTTTCAACACACCATCCCTATTTTAAGCCATTAAAAGGACAGCAGGTATTATCAATGCAATAATTTAAACCTTTTTGTCTTTGTCGGTGCTCCAATTAGGGGTTTAACCATGCCAATGCACGGGTACATTATTTTGACCATGATCATGATGATTTGATTATAACTGTTGTCTTGGTTGCTCAGTCTTTAGTATGTGTTCGCCTTCCTATTATTATTATTATTTTTATATTCATAATTGAATGTCTTTTTCTTATCATGCTTATTTTGGCGTCATCTTTAAGATTAATGGATTCTGATTACCCGAATGTGTTAAGTACAATACATTTCAGATCAATTTCTATGTAAAATATGCATTGCACATTGAGTTAATTCGCATTTCAACGTACGGGACGACCTGGGACAAGCCAATTACCTGACTATTAGGTCTGAGAACACAGTTATCGTCCTTTTATTTTCGTTGTCTACAAATATAGTCCCTAGTGTGGAAAGTGTGTTACTTGCAATTTTTTTTATACCCTTTCCAAATTTATTTCTTCATGTTTTATGCCCCAAATAGCAAGTAGGGGATGGGATGAAATTACACTAAAAAAATTTAGGTCATGTATTTTAAAGTAAAGTAGTGATTTGGTTCAGCTAAAAAATATTAAAAATTAGTAATTCGGAAGCTGTCAAAAGAATTCAAGACACCCGTAACATAAAATTGTCCATATTTTGAGTTAGAGCTGATCAAGTTTTCTATAATTTTGATATAATGTGTACCAAAGGTAGTAAACCACACTGTAAAATATTATTGAGAAAGCGCAGATGGGATTTTTTTTTAATTTTCATTAATTGTCTAAAAGAAATGCACTACGAAATACCTGTGTTCTCGGGCCAATAATCTTAAAATCTGAATAAAACATTTCAGGATATGGTTACTCAAACATGGTCTTTCCAGTCTAAATTTTATTTACTATCGATTTCTTCATTCAAAATGTGTACTGTATGATGATAATGGAATATTGTACAGAAATTTTCAATACTAACAGCAACTTTTATTTGAAATTATTTTGTTTCGAATGAAACTCGATTTAGCGGTTAAAATTTAAGAAAATATTAGTAGTCAATTCTTGTAACAAATGAACTTAGCATTAATTGTTTTTATTAGTTTGTGATTTTTATAAAGTGTTTTATATAAAATTATTTATAAATTATAATTATTGTAAAGACTGTATTCAAGATCTGGTTATGTAGACATATCATTTAATAATATGTGTAATTAAGGGGTTCACTTTTATATGTACTCTTCTGTTGTAAATAAATAAAGATCAAGATTTATAGAAGTTTAATTGTTTCTACCTTTGCATAAACATAAATATAAAGTCTACGAAACTGGAGTTTTTTTTTGAAAAAGAAACAAAAATGTCTTTGTTTGAATCTTGAGAAAACATTCAATTCACAGTCATTAGTGATGAACAGAGATGTTGGGTATACGTAAATGAGACAAAACCCAACGACACAAAACACCAAAATATTCAGAGATCGACAATCGGTCTTCAACAACAGATACATATCTATATATCGTGCCGAACTCGAAATCGCCCCTTGTATGACTGGTTGATTGGTTGGTGTTTAACGCCACTTTCAGCACTATTGGCTATTTTGTTGCGGTCAGTTTTTATTAGTAATGGAAGCCGGAGTGCTGACCATCAGCAGGAAAACTGACAATCCTTGTCAATCAAGATTGGAGTCGATCGCACCTTCCACATGCGAGATTCGAGCTCACAACCTAGTTCAGTGTTGACAGGCTAGTGATACAGTAGTTGAACTACTTAGACTACTCGGCAACCGAGCCTCTTGCCCTGTGTATGGAAAAAGAATTCACCAGACATTATGTTTTGAAGAATGCCAGTCCATATGGACGCTCGAACTCAAACAAAACACGTTGCAGTTTCTGTTGTCGTTTTTTGTATGGTTCGTGTTGCTAAGTGTTTAATTTTGTTTTGTGTAAGGAAGACTTGTACGTCTTTTCGTTGTTTTTTTTGTCATGGTCTCATGTTGTTCATTGACTGATGGTTGTCACCTTGGTACAGATGTATCGTCTTCCACTTTGTAATGAACTTTTTACGCGGTAATCCATACAAGATTCCGTATGTGACCGACGTCATGTAAAATATGTATGACGAAATCACTTTACTACGTCAGCTTTGGTGACTTAATGATAAAGTATAACAACAATACCGAACTCATAGGCAAATTCAGACCGGGGAAGTCCATAAAATATGACAAAATCAAATGCTTTACATCAACGGAATAAGTGAAAAGACAACTGCCATATTTCTGACTCGGGGTTTATCTATATATCTAAAATAATAGAAGAAAAAAACAGGTGGAGAATATCTTACCATTACATCTATCAAAGCCTGAACTGTCTATTCTTTCGATAATTGAAAAGAAAACAACAAATTGTATCATACATGAAATTTATTACAAAAGGCACGTAGAATTCAAAATTTATAAAATGCTATAACATTATGTAAGTATTGTTTATATCAATTGTTTTAACACACATCACATACAACAAAATACAATTTACATTCAAACGTACACACATTTCTCAGTATTCTCACAAATTTTGACTATTCGATGATATACCAAAAAATAGACGGTTTTGATACTATCTTACAACACTATATAAACCGTTTTTACAATTGTTTAGTTTACTTATTTGCGTTAAAGTTACCACGTAAACATATGATTTTGTTCGGAGGAATGGATTGCTTTATTTTAGATGTCGTTCAAACATATTAAGAAAGAATAGAAAATTAACTAAATTATGTAAGATATGTTCAATTGATTATTGGGTACGTTTTAGGCACATTGAAGTCTTACTGAATATACACATACATATCAGCTGCTTTGTTGTGTAAAATCACAAAATGACATGAAAATGAATTTTGATATACTCACTAGTATTCAACTTTTTAAACTAATATTATATTTTTTATGCTGATAATAAAATGTAGTTGTCATTCCTAATATATTTATAATATATCAAGGCATGTTTTTTTTTTTTCAATCCTGATAATTAAATCTAACATGACCAGGAGACAGATTATATAAGCGCTACCTGTTTATGTCAGATTTCAATTCGTTAAATGTACAAGATGTAATGTCCTTTAGTATTTGAATATTTTTTACACTAACATAAAAATAAAACAACAAACGTATCTAAATCATTATAGTGCTTCAAAATGTAACATAACATTCTATATCAATGACTAACGCATATCAGTATCTTCTTATTTCTCTTTGCAGAAACATTCCTTACCACACACATCACATAAAGTAGAACTTTCCAATAATTTTGATGAATAAAATGTAGTCTTTTGTTTACCTGAAAAAGAAGACAGTATATCTTATCTTTGATCCCTAAAAAATGAAACCACCTCCAAAAAATAGAAAAAAAAACTAAAACAAGTTTGTTGAATTAGTCCTCTTTACATACGCTGTAACTACGAAATCCATACTAAACACACAACGTGATAACTACAAAACTCAGAATATGATTACTTTTGTATACACACAAAATAGATATTATGACTTCTCAAACTGCAGTAAGAGTATTTAATATGCAGATATCTGTGCTTCAGTATAAGCATAGTTTGAAGGATACGTTGTGTTTGTCAATTTCGAGTTCTGAAAATTATGTAAATGGCAATGTTCTATTATTACTTTATCAGATAAAGTTGGTCATAAACAGTTTTGGTTGGGTTTTTTTTCAAGTTGTTTTTTTATTCCATAAACACTTGTTTTGCGCATGAAAATCATTTTTGCTTTTTATAACATCACTATATTACTTAGTAAGATATGAAACTTTGAAGATATCTCTAGCTATTGGAATTTTTATTTACATGTTTTTCATATTGGACAAACCAAATTTAAACATGTGACACAAGCTTGTCTCAAAAAGGATAAAAAAAACCAAAAAACTGTGGAGTAAATTTTTTAACATAGATTGGGGAAATTGAAGCGATCGATATAGAGACAAATAAAGGTAACACATAAAATGTGAGGGAATCGCATGCAAGACTGGTTGAGTCGACACGGTAAGCGTCTCCTGCTATGCATCCATCACCCACCGCTCGATTTCACATTGAAAAGATATATATCATTCAAAAGAATAAAACTTACTCGGCTCATAATAGTCATATATTCTGACAGGGGATGGTTGCAGCTCTGCCACTCGATCAGTTCGTACAATATGTAGCGACACACATTGTTCTTTGGCATCAAACTAAAATGATACAATTGTATAAAAAAATGTTATTATGGAGAAGTAGATAAATGGTATCAGTTCAATCATTCATCAAGGTCTTTTTTATGATCTGGTCCGAGTACACAGTTATTTCTTAGTGCATTTCTTTTAGACAATAAATGAAAATAAAAAAAAACCCACCTGCGCTTTCTCAATGATATTTTTTACAGTGTGTTGTACTATTTTTGGGACAAAATATATCAAAATTATAGAAAACTTCATCGGCTCTAACTCAAAATTTGGACAATTTCATGTTAAGGGGGTCTTGAAATCTTTTGACAGCTTCCAAAGTGCTAATTTTTAACCTTTTTCAGCTTGACCAAATCACTACTTTACTTTAACATCACCCAAATTTTTTTACAGTGTAACTTCATCCCCCTACTTGCTATTTGAGACATAAAACATGAAGAAATACATTTGGAAGAGGTATAAAACAATGGCAAGTAACACACTGTCCACACTAGGGACTATATTTGTAGACAAGGAAAATCAATGGACGGTACAACGAAAATCAAGGGACGATTACTGTGTTCTCGGACCATCTTAGGTAAGCAACAAGAACAAATAAAATTTTGGAGAATCTTCTAAAAATCAAAATCTAAGAAATTTCTTTAGGGTATATATGAGAGTACCGAGTTCAGACTCTATCATTTGTACATCAGTCATATTTAAAAGAAACATGTCTTTTATTGAATCTGTATTTGTCAATTATTTTTTGGACGCATTCTTTTTTATGGTGTTCATAAATTTAGCTTGATAAGATATATGTATTCCATTTGCTTATTGTAAACATACCTTGTCAAAATACAATACTAGCTTTCTAAATAATTCTTCTTTTCGTTTATACTCTGGAGCTAATGAAAAATCAAGCGAGTCATAATCTGGTGTCATTCCTGATGGTATTCCAATTTCCATTATAGACATTCCGGTTTCGCCATCTCTACGCCATCTGTAAATTAAAAACAAATGGGCATTGAATTATTTCTCAAATTTTTCAATTTTTTAATCAACATTTAAAGCAAGATTCAACAAAAATGTTATTTTCCCAACCATATCAATAATTTTTATAGTTCACTTTTTCTGTCAATTTTCTTCAATGAACTGTGTGTATTTGAAAACATTCACTTTCAAGGTTTTTTATTTCTTTTCTTTAAAACGAACACCCGGGGGGGGGGGGGGGGGGGGGACATTTTTCAGGTTTTAATGAATTTACTGTCGCTATAATATTGCTACCCAGACAAATTAAATTTGATGGGCTAAGTTTCTTATCCAAATTCCAGTGATAGAGCTTAAAATAAGTTCGCATCTGCAATAGGCAAAGTTAATCTTAGACGGGTAAGGCGGTTTTCTGTAGTCACTTTGGTTTGCATTCACCAACAACTCTTGCATTTTGGGTTCTGTAATTCTTGATTTACGACTCTGCTAGGTAAAGATTAATTTGTTATAGAATAACTTGTTTTGTTTATGGAATGATGGAAAACATTTCGGGTTTTTTTTCATGGCACTTCTCTTTGAGCATTTGTTAAACTAGCTAGATATAAAATTTTACTTGGAATATTGTTAGAATTTCTAACCATTAGAATTACATACAACTTTGACCAATGCATTTCAAATAATTATATCATACCTTCCACACACTTGTAGCCTTAATCCTTTTGTTGTTTCTTCTGATATTGTTGTATTTATATCAAATGCTGAAGTTTTAATGTCATCAGCAGTGTAGAAATACACAGCAACCTGAAACACAAATATTTTAATGTAGTTATCTGACATTTCATATAAAATTTGGTACTTTTCATGGCACTTTTCGTCAAAATGTTTTTCCAATTTGTTTCTGTATGTATTTTGATCTTTTTCAATTCAACACGACTGTACATTTTAATACACTTTTCCTGAATAAAAACCATTCCTAATTTTATCATTACTGAAGAGTAAAACAAATAGCCTTTAATTAATAATTTTCGTTTTTTTTTTACAGTTAAATGGCGTATAACATTTGTAAATATTTAATTAGAAATGATTGAATGATAGCGTTTTCTTACTGAACATATTATTGAGGCCTGTGCATACCAACTGTTATCTAGTTTCTTGTTTATTTGTGAAAGAAAAAAAAGTTCTACAAACGTTGTTTTTTCATAATGTGATTTAGATCTGATATGACGAAATAGTTTTTCTTGTACAAATCAATGTAAAGAAAATATAACTCATTTAATTTCCTGTAATTTCAATTCGGTTCTATACATTTTAAATTAGGATTATGATCTTGTGCCTGTATAATGTTATTCGTTTTAGATCATTGTTGTTCTTTTGCTGTTGGATATTTTTGTGGTATTTTGTACTGTCCACCTAATTTGAATATTCCATTTATTGTTTCAATGCATGTTGTAAGGTTATTATAAACGGAATTTATTTATTGAATTCAGGGATCATTTTCTATTGTATTCTTACCTCCGCTAAAGAAACTCCTTTTCCCTTTGCAAATACTGTTAGTTCTTTTACTCCAGTTGGAATCTGAATGAAAATATCAAAAGTAAATAAAAAAAATCACAAACATAACAACACAATGAATTGATATTGAGACATGTTGGTGCTCTTCAACTTTCAGTGATAACGAATTAAGATAAACTTTACATGATTCTCAACCTTAAATAAGATGAATACTATAATTCGACAAAATAGAATTGGTTTTCACAATGATAATATGAATGTTCAAACTTACCTCAAATGCTTTTAGCACTAGGGCATTATCTCGAGTAATGATATGTGTATCTTCAAATTTTTCACCCTGTAGGCTTTTTATAGTTATTTCCATGTTGAAGTCAGCGGAGTATATCTCCCCAGCAAATTCTGCTAAAGCTTGTAATGCAATAATTGTGTCCTGTAATATATATTTAAGCATGCTAAGACAGATAAATTCATCTGTTATAATGGAACCATTCCCTGGTAAACAGATTATAAACACCTTTTTTAACATTATCAAATTCAAACATTGAAGACTGCGATACACTCATATTCAAAAGATCACCCTAAAACTCATTAAAGGAAGAGGATGGCTATACACATAAAACAGGTAACACAATCTGTGCAGTTACTGTCATATACTAAAAACAACGACGGTGGGAAAATATGGTAAGTATTGTGTTCACTGAATATTCATGATACTGCATGATTATAAATCAATGTTAACTTAACACATTAACTCTTTAAACGAAAAAAAAAACACTTCGATAAATTTCGTGCGTCCAAAGCGCTGACATCAAAACATTTGAAATCCTTGGATGTTTAAATACCTTAAACACATGAGATATATGATCAAAAAGGAACATAAGTGATATAGCCAAATCTATATAATATCGACATAACATTACTAATCAATAATTCTTTCTTTTATTACTACCGGGTGCCTCGGTTGTCGCATGGTCTAAGTAGTTCAATTACTTTATCACTAGCCTGTCAACACTGAGGTTGTGAGTTCGACGTCGCAGGTGTGCTCGACTCTTATCATAGTACATTAAGATTGCTAGTATTACTGCAGAAGGTCCTTGATTCTCTCCACGCACTCCGGCTTCCTCCACTTAAAAAATTGACTGTCACGAAAAAAATCCAATAAAGCTGAAAGTGGCGTAAATTATAAATAAAATAAAACCGTTTCCTTACTTGTGTTGATGAAAATCCACCATTAGGATTTCGTTGTGAAGTCAACCACCGTAGTACTGGTAAACCATTGTCGACATCATTGTTCATTGCATAGTTCATAAGAATATATGAAGTCAGTTCAATATCTATAGCATTTGACTGACTGTGTGGAGGATTCCAATCTAAATACTTTTGTTCGTTGGACTCTTTAGCATTATGTTTCCAGTACCTAGTACCATCTACAAAAAGCAAACATTTGATTTAAGACTAATAAGACAAACGTGCTGTAAATTAATTCATTCCAGATTTCAGATACATTAACTATAAAAACCACTATCTTGAAGCTTTTAAATTTAGTGGTTCCTTTACCGGAGTTTAACACTACTTCTCCAACTTTTTTTTTGTTACTAAAATGACACATGAGATAATGATAAACATTGATATTTTAGAATTTTCAGTCAACAACAAGATATGCATTTAGTTTATTTCTAAAGTCGTCATATCAATGCGCATTGCATAGCTATTTTGACGTCCTGTTGCAATGTTATGAATAACAGGTTCCTCCATCGCAATATTTTGGATTTCCAATCTAAGTTTTTGAGCACCAACAACTAAATGTTCAAATTTAGAGATGTGAGTGATGTGGATTTTGGTTTCAATAAATTTCGCATTACTTTTTTAATTTATTTGGAAGAAATAGTACCTTCGTCTACAGCTAACATTTTTAGTCTGTCTAATATGATGATTGCCTTTGGACTGTTCACAAGTTTCAGAGCATACGATACTATTGCCATTTCGTAAGTGTCAATCAACCTGTCTACCTCTCCCTCAAGGTAGGTTGTTGCCCGTTTGACAGATCTTGCAGTTCGGTCGCTGGCCTAAAAAATAAATGCATAGATATCATTACAGTTAATAGACAAAGAATATTCTTATACATCTCTTTGACTCACAATAATAATTTTGACTTTATGACTACGATTGTCGTTTTTATTCAACATGAATTAGGTGTTTGCTGATAATCAGAATTTTTAGGTTTCTATATTAAGAAACACATTTGAATACCATGTAGTGTATTTATTTTACTAAAGATGGCAGCTTAAAATAAATTGTCGACTTTTAATTTCTTAAATGTTATTGACTATAAAAATAAGAAGATGTGGTATGATTGCCAATGAGACAACTCTCCACAAGAGACCAAATGACATAGAAATTAACAACTATAGGTCACCGTAGAAATGTGGTCATAAACACTTTTTTGTCTTTAAAACTATGCACACATACCTTATTCAACATATGATATGAAGTGTTATGCCAAGCCGTTGTGAAATATCTTTCACTAATCAATCATGTGTTATCATCATGTTGATAATACATATTATTATAATTTATATATTTAAGCTGCAGTTTTCTATGCTGGGAGCACATACAAAAAAAATATTAGGATTTCAGTTAAAAAACATATAAACAAAAACGAATAATTAATCATTGTTGATAATTATATGGAAAAGTTGCATTTATGGTTTTTATATTGAAAGAATGTATGGTGATGCCTTGATCCTTTTTTGTTTTATCATGCTGTTTCATTGGTGTATATCAAATATCTCCTTTTATCCATACTTTTTTATTTTCTATTTTTTCTAAGTTTGTTTATCTTACCCCTTGAATGACGTCTGCTTCCTTCATTGCAATCAGTACAAATGCTGTTAAAGATCTCTCGCCTGCCGCTGATCCACCCTGAAACATATGTAATATTATCACATTCATCTTGTGTTCAATCAAATTTTATGCATGGTTTAGAATTTATCAACTTGATAACACATGTACATATATTTAATCAGTTTGAAAATGTATTTTTTTCATCAAATCGACATACGAGGAGATATGAAATTGAATCTTAAACTGTATTTAAAAATAAAAGGATAGGCATACAAAAAAATATAGATTTTCTGTTATTCGGGATACAAACTATATATGACAGAAAAAATAAGTTTGTTCTCAGTTGTCGTATTCTTCAACTATCCCTTAATGTGTCGTAACATACAATCTGCTCCAACACCTAACTTACGACATGTACATTTCTTGGTTGATACGATATGCCAAAAATGGTCCTGTCTTGTTGATTATATTAACTGGATATTGATGATTGATTACAATAATCATCTTACAGTAATAAATCGATAGCAGCAACATTATCATTGAACAATGAAAGAGGTGAATAGAGTGACTGGCATGCAAAAAAAATATTGTACGGTCAACATACCTGCATAGCTTTATGTAAAACTTTCCCAGGTTCTTTAAATGTTCCAATTTCATTTTGTTGTAACACAAGCCAATCTAGTGCTTTATGAAATAATTTGTCGTCAATGAATATATCATCAGATGCTTGAGCAAACGATTTAACGACAAATGCAGTAAGCCTAAAAAAAATTTAATAACTTGTCATTATGAAATATGATGATCAAGCAGAACTATATATCTTTTTTTAATATCCGGATCAACATTGTTATGATTAATAAGAAATCACAGTAGTATTTTATTTTGATTTTCTAGCAACATTATTTTTTACTGTAATATTTGCTGATGGACTTTCCATTTCTGCGAATTATTGGTTTGTTATTTGTTTCATATTGATTGACTTTCCATTTCTGCGAATTATTGGTTTGTTATTTGTTACATATTGATTGACTTTCCATTTCTGCGAATTATTGGTTTTGTATTTGTTTCATACTGATTGACTTTCCATTTCTGCGAATTATTGGTTTGTTATTTGTTTCATATTGATTGACTTTCCATTTCTGCGAATTATTGGTTTGTTATTTGTTTCATATTGATTGACTTTCCATTTCTGCGAATTATTGGTTTGTTATTTGTTACATATTGATTGATTTTCCATATCTGCGAACTATTGGTTTTGTATTTGTTTCATATTGATTGACTTTCCATTTCTGCGAATTATTGGTTTGTTATTTGTTTCATGCTGATTGACTATCCATTTCTGCGAATTATTAGGTTTGTATTTGTTTCATACTGATTGACTTTCCATTTCTGCGAATTATTGGTTTTGCATTTGTTTCATACTGATTGACTTTCCATTTCTGCGAATTATTAGGTTTGTATTTGTTTCATACTGATTGACTTTCCATTTCTGCGAATTATTAGGTTTGTATTTGTTTCATACTGATTGACTTTCCATTTCTGCGAATTATTGGTTTTGTATTTGTTTCATACTGATTGACTTTCCATTTCTGCAAATTATTGGTTTGTTATTTATTTTAATTGATCCAATTGGCCGTTTCAGAATCTAAAGGACTATGGGTTATTTGTATTGTTCGTACCCCAAAATGAAAATAACATCACGTCATTGGTTGAATTTCCATTGTAAAGGACGTTTTTAACCAATCACGACGTTTTGGTGTACACTTTTAAATATATTACCAAAATGCATTAGATTCTGAAACGGCGAATTCATTCTGGTGACAATGTTTGTCATGCTAAACAGGAGTTGAAGCACCGTGTGTCAGGCTTTCCGTTTATCATTCGTAATATTGTACTTTTTTACAGCTTACCATGTAGTACCAGATTTATCGCTGTTTCCAAAAGCACTGAAGGACCCATCATCATGTTGGTAAGTCAGCTCTCTTTGATATCCTAAATTTAAATTTTGAAGCATTATGAAATGAATAAATGCAACAATGTACTTAAATATGTAAAACTATACACAGACTAAGTGTGTTAATGAGCGAATTTCGTTACTGTTTTCCTCATATTGGTAGTTTTGTTAAACGAAAGTCGGTATATTTTGAGGCGAAATTAGTTTGCCTATGTAAAAATCTCGTTAATCGATAAGGAAGAGACAAATTTAAGGTTACAAACAAAAACTGAGGGAAAAGCAATAGTAGCGGGAGCGTCGTCAGGACAAGCGTGTCCTGATATGCATGCATCAACCGCCATGCGAATTCTCACTTATTACGTTAGTTCTATATTATGTCACTGATTTCCGTCTCATGAAATATGTCTCCTGATCCATAACTTCTTATGGAATACCATAGCTAAGATTTGTTAATTATACTGATTTTGTATCTACGAACGTTTCACGTTCAATTTCATTGGACTGGATATATTTTATTTTTTTCCTCGTCACTTCAATTTCAGATTTTGTATCTTTTCCTTGTTTTATCTTCGACTCGAATACAATTCAACATAGTTATACATTTAAACATACTTTGCCTTTTACCATATACTCTTACCTTTGATCATATACTCTTTTGATTTAGAATCCATATTAGATTTTAGATTATTTGTGACATTCAAATATCTTCGTACAAAAATATTTGGTGCAAAATTTAACATGTTTTGCTCTCCACAACCATAAGGCATTTTAATCAATTTCTCTAAACCATTAATTGAAGGTCCCATCAAATCACCTGAAAGCATGAACAATAAATGTACTACCTACACTATTAAATTCCAAGGTTTTGTTTTTTCTAATACATAATAAGACACAAAGCTGAAAATATTTCACAAAGTTAGGCTAGAGTTTTTAGTTTATGTCACGTTATTTATTTCAATTATTAGAATGCTAGTACCATAAATGATCTAAGGAGTATATTTCACTATATAGTGTTTGGTATGCTATATCCAGGTGTTTTTGAATAAATCGTAACCATACATTGTGTAATTCAATCTTCATCATCAAAAAAAGGCAACAGTAGTATACCGCTGTCATTGTAAAACAGATTCGCCAGGTACTTCCAAAAACAATAAAACCTTTGTATATATCTACATGATCTATGATTTTTGCAGATATAAAGATTGTGAGTACCATTGGTAACAAACAACATTACATAGATGGCAAAGATTCATTGGAATATTGTTTTCCAATTTTAATATCTCTTTTATTATTATTGTTCTGACATCCTTCTTTGTTACTTACCTATCACAGATGCTGTCACACGCCTAGACCCTGCAGTAGTATTGGCCGGGAAGGTAATGTTTACTGTTTTATTAAATGTACCAACAGTCTTCAAGTCAATCAGTACAGGAATGTTATATTCCTGAGGTGTCCCAGAAGGCTGCAAGATTTTATGTGTTAATTTTATTCATTGTCAGTAATATGAGTAATAATTTAAGAAGACCGGCAGGTTATCCATATTTATTTACCAACTTACTACAATATGTATAGAAATGCCTATGCTTTATAAAAAGAAAATGTCGACAACTGGTCATTATGAACGGAGAAATTGCTACAGCCATGCATTACGAAATCTCAGTCATGCATTACGAAATCACAGCCATGCATTATGAACAGATGAAACGGGACATCGATTAAATCAAAATGTCGTTTATTTCTTCAAATAAGTGACAACTTTTTTCAAATTTTTTTTAACTTAATATCATAAAAAAAAAGTTTAAATGATGTTCAGTGTTTTGTAACGACTTGAAACGGAAATATTACACAGCCTTTTTCGAGTACGACTTCCGATTATTATCTCTGTTTCATTTCCGTTGATCAATTATCAGAACGCAGACTACTCAGAGTAAGAATAGTAAAACTGTCTGATTTATTCTTCCCAGCTACTTTTAATTTGCTAGATGAAATGAATTGTAATAGCATAAAATAAAGTACTTGGATGAGAAATCAGAAATTACATCTGACAATGTTGACCAAAAATCCATCGTGAATGCTAAATGACAAGTTCATGCAGCTATGAATTCCGGTATCTTCTTCACGGTAAGATTCTTACTCTTTGTTTAATCGAAGAATTAAAACCATTTACGGTAATAAAAGTGTTATGAACTGGCTTTTTTTTTGTATTGGTCCTGTGATAGATTCGTGGTTAGCTGTATTTGGATCCGAGACTCGAAGACTGTTCTTGAATGAAGTTGCCTTAGTTAGTTAATAAAAGTATCAATATATGGACTTTTTCATATTGGCCCTGTAACATGCCCTTGGTATTAATAATGGCCTCGGACAGTTGTTATGGCCCTCGGCGCTGCCTCGGGGCCATTACAACCATCCTTGGCCATTATTAAAACCTCGGGCATGTTACAGGGCCAATATAAAAAAGTCCATACATTAATACTATATAGTACAATATAGATTTCAAACATACAAATGTTCAAAAAACTACACATGGATTTCATGTAAGCAGCGGATAAATTCCCAAATGAAGGCATGTAAGATGATTTTATTTCCCCCTGTTAAAACCCTGAATTTCAAGCAAAATAATGGAATAGAAACAAAGGTATAAAGGAAACTTGCACTTTCCCTTTCAAAATCCACTTAGATTGCATTCCATAACGTATTAGGGATCAACTTAATGGGAAGAGGGATAAACCTGTAAATATACTATACGAAGCAGATTGTTGCAATAAAAACAGAAAAGAACTTAAAAAAGAAATATCTTTCCAACAGACTGTACGGGAAAAGGAGTAGGGCCACGAAGGGTTAAAAACGGCCCTGTCTCAGAAATTGACGAAATTACTGCAGAAGGATCACTAACTAGTGTAGTTCATAAAACGAAAACCATCAGACTTGTAATTGTGTTTGTATAATTTTCCAGGGCGTCAGAAAAGACCAAGTTACAATGGTATGTTAGCCATTTGCGTGTAACGTTAAAATTGTTTTCATTAACGTTCTAGCAACTTTATCATCTTTTTACCACAAGAATTTTTTTACAAGATATTTCTTGAATCTCGTCTATATATCTTGATTTTTTTTAACTCTATTAACAGAAACTTACTAATATTAAGGTCTTAGCTGCAAAAAGCGTTTTAATTAAATATCGTATAAGTGGCCCAAATACTCGTTTTCTGTATTGATATTCACGAAATAGAAATTGTAAAGACTATGTAAACAAACATAATTCTATAGCATAGATTAAATTAAAAGTAATAAAGGATTTTAAAAGATAAACAATGAATGTCTTCTTTTTGGCAGAAGGAATTTAGATTGAAAGCTGTAAAATATCTTGGCGAGCGAAGTAGAGTCGTAAAAAAGTACGAGGATAGTTGATCACACCACATCATCTTATTTGTATATGGAAAGAAAAGCGTGATTCACCTAACCACAGAAAAGTTTATTTTCTAGTAAAGAAGTAAAAGATGAAGCACAGATAAAGATAAACATTGTGTATAAACAATACATAGTATTAAATGTACTTCAATAATCATAGAACACATTATAATTGTACAAAAGTCACCAGACACCATAACCACACGTGCACTCATAAACATCATTCTCATTCCGGAGGATTACATGCTTACTCTTAAAGCAACATTCAGAATTAAACACTTGAATGAACAATAGTTTCATATAATACTGCCATTCATACGTCACTGACCACATTACATAGTACTGCTATCTCTAATTGTTCTTAAAGCGCATGAAATATGTAGTCATCTGTAAAAATTGAAATATAATTCTTTCAAATGGTTCAATGAATCCTTTTTTATATTTTCCCAGAACTTGTTTACTAGGTAAAGTAATAGTTTAAATGCAGAGGCTATTTTGCCGGCGATACCAAAATTGAAAATATGCTATTTTGCCAACTCTCGGTAAGGGGAAGCCAACATGCCAGTAAAAAAAATTGTTTACAGATATGCAATTTAAAACTGACTATTATTTCAAATCAAATTTAATTTAAACATTTTTGATTTTGAAGCTATATTATTGATTTTTCTAGACTGTATAACGTTTTTATCAAATCGATATGCTAGAAACCTAGCTTAATTGATATAAATTATCTCTGGTTGATGAAATTTACTTTGTAATTTTTATAATGGGATATGGGATCACTCCTAGTATAATTTTTTTTAAATATTTCTAACAATGTTTAATGCAATAAAATTTTTTTTTCTTTCATTTTTTTTTACAGCAGTGTTTAAAAATCTGAGATTTTATTCTTATGCATACATGTAGCATTAGACTGATTTTAGAAGTAATTTCAACTACATGTTTTGATATGATTTCATTGCTACAAATGGATGCTCAATAGTTTTTATTTTTATTCCTTTTTACAAATTCTTATTTTCACTTGGATTCATAAATGTTTTTAAACGATTTTATGTATATCAAATATTGTGACATTATCTTATTCAACTATATGTCGAATAATAATTTGATTCTTTTATGTTGACAATGCACATTTTCGTAGTGTTTTTCAAAAGTAAATATTAAAATTCACTCTTTACAAAGAACCGACAAAATAACAAATTCACTGTATTGCCGGCGCCGACAATATAGTCATTGCTATCGAAATATGCTAGTTTGCTTGTTTTAATTAAGATATTTTAATAAAAGACGACAAAATAGCCACTGCCTAGTTTTAAAAACTCAAACATTTGACAGAATACTCATTCTCAGTTGTCCATTGTGGACGATTTCATTTAGCGATTTAGCTATATTCAATAAAATATATCCGACTTGTGCATGTTTCTATCAATTACGTTTTAAAGAAACAAATGCTTTTATTATTTTATGATTCGTGTTCTCGTTAAAGGGGCATTAGCTACGAGATATATAAAAAAAGATTTTTTATTTGTTCAATCATTAATGAAAGTGAAATAGTGAAATAATAATTCGCTTTTAGCAGCCAGTCTGGTTCAGTTTTGTCAAAATAAGCGAAAAAACATCGCTAATGAATTATTCACTTGCAAGTGTATAATTCGACTTCATTAAATCCATATTCATGTGAAGTTCAATTAAACCCCTTAGCTACAGATGGGTTTTGCATGAAGTAGGCGTGTTCAGGTATTTAAAGTAAAAGAATGTCAACATTGGAAGTAAAACAAGGGTAAACACCTAGATACCAGAGTCTAGAGGCAATGAGGAATAATTTGCAAATTCATGATTTTTATTTCCACCAATTTAATTGGCTTGTTTTCTAATAAAAACAGTTGTTAGGACGTATCTATCCGTGTTTAAAAACCTCGCCAGATCGGCTGTTAACGAAGCTAAAAACAAAGACTTGTTATTCCATTTTCTTCTTTTTTGTTTGTTATAAATAAGAAAATAATAAATTATAGAATTTATTCTATTTATAGCAATTGTACAATTTCTTGGTACAGTTATTTTCCGTCACAGAATCTATCGTAGTTCGGAAATGGCGGCGTTGAATCAGAATTTGCTTGTTACTAAATGTTAGCCAAAGTTAAATTTTCGATGTGGCCACAAGCCTCGACCACGCTTAATATTGTTGCAAACTGAGTCAAAGTGTCAAACAATCAAAATAAGAGTAAAATTACTTTGGTCGAGGCCTGTGGCCAATGCGAAATTTAACCAGGAAGTGTGAAATTCTTTGATAATTTGGACATTTTGAGCGTTCCGGTTTGATTCCGGGTATTACGTCACATTAATGACGTCACAATAAAAATATTTTATACTATAATAACAAATAACGATAAACGTAGATATGTTTTAGCTATAAAGGATCCACCTTATTTCTCTTTTATTTTTTGTCGCTTCACAGGGCCAATATCGGCACTTCGTGGCCATACTCCTTTATCGTTTCGGTCTACCAATGAGTAGACAGCATTCATATACTATACATTTGAATTAAATCATATTTTGATCATATATAACAGTTACAGATTGCTTATTCCCAAAATTAATATACATTTATTATACCTCTACAAGAAGATTCTTCTCTACGGCATCAGACGCAGATGCTGTTCTGGCAGTAACTGAAATCTTTAATTGCCCAACTTCAATTGGGACAATTGGGAAGAAGGCCGAGCCAATTCCTCCCTTCCGCAACTGAAAAAAATATCACGATTGAAAATATCTAGTAAGAACAATGCATTTAAATGTTATACATCATCATTAAAGCTGTTTTTTGTCAAATCATATGATTATATACAACATTGCTATAATCCATTATATTTCATTCATTTTCCGTGACTTAAATGACTACGTTATAACAAGCGTTATATTTATCATAAAGTTACCGGGAACAATTTATTAAATCAAGTCATTTAAACTTTGAGAAAAAAATCATTCTTTTTGGATAGTTATTAGTTTCAAAGAATCACAATTAAAATAGGTTTACATTTTCGACCATTTGTCACCATTTAATTTTATATCTGAATACTGCTATCACAGTCAGGCAACATGGACAAAGTTGTTTGTATATTAGTTTTTCTTTTGATTTTCAATATGTGTTGTTACTAAACATTATTTCAATCCAAACATTGTGTGCATATAACGAATACATGGAATATAAAGCTACATTTTAATTTAAACATTTGTCGTAATATTCAGAAAAAAATTATTATATCCTGTACGGGAGCAGTTTTAAATTATCACTAATCATTTCCTTCTGTCAAACATTAAAGTATAATCATTAATAGAAGCCAAAGACTACTAAATATTTTGCAAATTAAAGATATCATTATGATGCAAGACAAAACGTTTTCGATTAAATATATGTAAATCTTAAATTTCTTCTCGACAGATTGATTGAAATTCTTTTTTTATCTAAAACAAAGTGTTCCCATTTAATGTAAAATTTATATTTGCAGTGATTATGAACAACAAAGATAATGAGGTGCAATTTGCGTGCCTCCTTATATATAAAATCCAACAGAGAGACATTTTAACCCACACTTAACTGATTGCGTCATCAACAGGAAACAGGGATTGTACCAAAAGGAAACCAAGTTAAGGTTAAACTGTTTTTGATAAAGTAACGTTAAGAAAAAAACTCACCTTAATCCATCTGCCTACTTTAGCATGCATTCTTTTCCTAACTCCAGAGCTGTAAGTTATCTCATTTTGCATAGCATTATTTTGCTCTAATATCACTAAAACCTACAAAACAATCATAATGATGATTGACATAGAACTGTAGTGTTTTTTTAAACTGAGAAGGAACATTATTGCATTTGACTATGGAAATAAGCCAATCAATATTTCACGCAACAACTGATTTTTTACAACATAATACAAATTTGAATACATCTTTGCCTAAGATAATACTATCATCTGAGTTAAAGCTGGCTTCCAATATAAAATTTCAAAGGGATATCATCATACAAGATGGTATGAAAACATATTCTGGTATATTTTATCTTGTGATCACTTTTTTTCTTTAAATGTCGAGAAAGATATGCCAAGAATTGTACTCTAACTTAAAACAAAACTCAAGACACAACTGAACTGAACGCCTATTTTATAAATTAAAGTTTTTATTCACTTGAGGCAAGCGTGTCACAACTAATGTTATGACACTCATATTTATATCTAAAAGATAAAAATAACACTTTTTTAAAAATTTTATGCGTCCGAAGTGCTTTTCGTAGTTGACCTTCATCAGAAACGCTCAAATCTAAAACTTTAAAAAGCAAGCATGTATAAGTATTTTAATATATGAGGATCTATATAACCAATAATCACCTACAAAGAAAAGCCATATATAGCATTAGACGCATTTTGCACAACTAATTTTTTGGTCAGCACTTTCAAGTTTACATGACACATCATTGATACGTTCATTTTCTGTTAAATTACTATAAAAACGGATGCGCAGATAACCTTAGTCGTTCCCGTTTAATGCACTTAAACCCAGCATTTTATTTGGCCTTCTAAATGTTTTGATTCAAGCTCCAACGTGTGTCTTATGTAAACTTAAGGCTGTTCGCTACTCTGTTTCAAAATAACAAGCTTTTTAAAAGACTGTTATTAATGAAAAGTATGTAAATAAAGGAACTAAAAAAGCCAACAAAATGATGGGTCCGTGTGCTTGTTGTCAAGATATAACCCATTGAAAATTTAGCGGGAAATGATTCTCTCTAGATGTTTCATATATTTAACATTGGCATCTTTTTTCTTTCAAAAACAATGACAAAATAACAAGGATTTTATAATATTTTCAAATATAGCTCTTAAAATATATGTAATAAAATCATGAAAGAAAAGTAAGGGTTAGCGGGCAAAATTGTTATTTGCACTACATGGATAAAACAAGTGGATTCCGAATATCTGACAAAAAGTCAAAAACAAGAGGAGCGAACATCCTTAAAGAGCGTCTGGATTTTCCTGCTTCCTTTGATGATTTTTTTAATATTTTTTGTTAAGCACTAGATGTGTGGCCATTTTAATTTAATTATCAAGTACATTCCTGTTTATATTCTCTATTCTGATGACATAAGAAACTATTTGGTCAATTAACCTTGTTATAAATCATAGAAACTTATCTCAGAAGTTAAATATAACTCATTTGGAAAGCAAGGAGCGATCTGATTTCTATCAACAATTAGAAAATTGCATACTTCTGATTATACATACCCATTCATTTTTTGCCAAATAGTTGTGAACGTTGACCTGTAAAACTACAAGTTCTCCTCGTACAACTGAATATGGTAGTACTAACTGCATAAAGAACGGCATGAATACATTCAACTGTAATTAAAAAACACGTTATAACAAAAAAAAAATCAACTGTAAAAAAAATTTTGAAATTTGTATCATTTAACATGTTTAAAGCGGAATCAATTATGATTAGATTTCGTACCTCACACTTCTGAAAATGTAAAAAATTGTTTAATTGAATTGAATATTGTTTGGTTTCATATGAAGTGAAACAGAAGTACAATGTATGTTAGTTGATACCAAAATCATAATTCCTTAGTACAAAGCATTTGCAAAATTAAAAAAAAACGTTTCATGCTTGTCAAAACCACATTTTCAAGAAAAAAGAAATGCCGTTTGTTTGGAAAAAAATATAATGAAAAAAATAAACAACATACGTTTGATGGTTGGGCTGTCAGTCCAAGTCCAGACTCTGGATTGACTGCAAAAGCTGTTGCTACCCATGAAGTAATAGTATCGGGAACTTTAACATTTATTGTTGTTTTTCCTGTGTCACTGTAATATCAACACATAAATGTTTCATATTTTTGTTCTTAGATATGCTACCGTTAGTCGTATATTCTAAACTTTTTTTTATAAATCCATTGTTTATTGACAGAAATTCATATTTCTGAGTTTTACAAAATTGACGATGGAAATTTGAACTTCGTAATACTACATGAAGCTTTTGCTTATCATACGTTATAATTTGTGCCACGAAACATAATAATAATTCATAGTATATAAAAGAAACAGATATGAAATAATGGAAAAAAATTGTAGTAATAAATGTAGTTCCAGTTGGATATTTCTCTCAAATTTTAAATAATTATTAAAAATGATCATATAATTAAAAAAAAATCATAGGTAAATCAATTTTCTTTTAAACACAATTAATTTTAAAGTTATTTCTGTTGAGAGTGATTAACAATACACAATATACTAACAGTTAAACAATAAAAAATACATTTTCTAATTGTTTAGATATCAACACATGCTATACATTTCACATCACATGCTACATGCTTCAAATTGTTTCGTATATACTTACATTTAAATAACATCTCACTTTAATTCAAGATTTTCTCATTTCTACTTGGTAAACTTACCTTTCATTAGATAGGTATATTGTCTCTTTGAATATTGACTTATACTATTCAGAACATTTAATTTGTTCAATTTTGAAAGAAATAGGAAGCTGTAGATATGTATACTGTCTACAAGAATATTGACTTATACTATTCAGAACATATTTACGTTGTAATAGGCTCGGGAATTACATTTGTATGTACAAAATTATGTATACTTTTTGTATAATTTATGTATACTTATATACACTTGGCATTGTACTTGATAGTCAGGAGGAAATAGAAACCAGGGTGTATTCCTAGCATATCTAAACATCGTTCTAGACAAAAATGAAGTTTGAAGGTAACTCATTGGTCCTGTAACAATATATCGTCATATGCAGGATCCATGATATCCAAATCTTTAGACTTATAAGACATATCTCACACACAAGACGTATCAAGATAAATCTATATTATGTATATATTTAGCAATACAAATAACAGTGTAGTGGATACAGAAATTATTTGATCGTTTATAAAATATAATATTCATTTAGTGGTCATTTTACATGTGTGTCATGTGTTCAACATTATAATCAAGTAATGATTTTTCATACAGTGCAGAAATGTTTATCAATATTATTTTCACTATATACTACCGTTGTGAAGTATAGATATATCAATAAGCATAAAATATAGTACAATAGTTGGACTATCCCTTGGTATTATCAACTCACGAAACAGTCAAATTACTCCACAACCAAGTCTCCGGAAATATCTTTCGGACACGTTTGATTGGTTCTAAAGATTTTTCCTGCATAGATAAGGGCCTTAAAGAAGTCGATGTGATCGTTGGTAATGTTGGCATCACGAAAAGTCTCGTTGTCATAAATGGCGAATAGTAAAATTGATCTTAAAAAAAATATACAAAATGTTTACATATTTTTGGCTGTTGGATCCCAATTATTGTCACATAAACCAATTATGTCTGTTAGGGTTGCTCATCCTATTATGTCAATATAACGGAGATATTGATAAATGTCATACAAGTGGGAGGTTTAACTTGCTATAAAACCAGGTTTAACCCACCATTTTCTTCAGAAGATGCGTGTCGATGCGATCGTTAATATAGTCTAACGTTTGATTTTGTCAGGTATAATTGAGTCCCCCTTTTTGATTTTCCTTGGAGTTAGGTATCATTGCTAAAACGTTTTTATCTTATAAATTATATGACTATAACATTACACAATCCTTGTTTTAAACCCTTCATTTTATCTTGACATAACCTCACTTTTTTGCATTTGTTATAACTAACATACCTTATAGAAGGAAAAACCAGTGTTGCTTTTGTTATAACTAACATACTTTACAAAGGGAAAAATTAAATAACAACATAAATGTCAATCCTGTTCGAACACACATCATATTAAAGCATTTAGGACTGTTCCGAGTATACATTGCTTCTATTTCGATTTATAAATGTGCGTCAAAACGTTAGCCATGAGTAACATATGTATATAAGCAAACTAAAATGTTTAATATAAGCTGTAAGTCAAGCTACAGAAAGCAAAAAGCAAAGGAAAAGACATGTTTTGATTCAAACAGAGTACAGAACTACAAATGAAAAAAAATCTGTTTATACATTTTATATGTATCTTTATCAACTGCCACATTTTACTGTTCTGAGAGAGATATTTGTTAGTTGCATCGGTGGCAAGGAGTTACTCACGGAATTGTTTCATTTAGCCATATCCAACTTTCAGGAAAGTGTTTCCTTATGTGATTCATTGGTTTTGAATCAAGACGATTAATTTCAGGTGTTAGTTGATACATATCGTCATACACAGAGGCACTCACTTCATAGACATCGTAGTAGTAATGAACTTTGAATATGCATTTCTATATATTTTCATTAAGTATATAAAAACCAAATTTAAAATGTTTACATTGTGTTAAAAACAATTCAAGGGGTTAAAGAGATTTCCAATGCAATTTATGCACAACGTCTATGTATTTTAAGGAGGTTCACATATGTTTAGAGTTATATCTGTAGAAAATATTCGGTCACTTATCTTGACTGTGTATGTAATCCTTTTCATTAATGAACTCACGCTTTTCAAAGATACTATTTGATTATCTTGATTTTATTTCCCATAAATTATCAATCAGCTTAGACTGTTACAACCACTCTAAACATACCTCCTCACAAAGTGTTGTATAAAACAGTGTATTGATATCATGAATGGAATGCAATAATGACAATTGAAAGGTACATCAAGGGTATTTTTCAAAAGTAAAGAAAAGAAGCCAAAAATATACATTTTGTTTAATTGTAACAAAAAATTGAAAACCAAGAAGATAAATACTGTGTAATTTTAACACACGTTATACCTCCCAAAGTCTTATTATTTAAAAATCTTAAATAATCATTAAAACAAACAACCCATTCAACGAATCATTACTTAATGATATATAGAATATCACAAATAAATAAAGTTAAATATAGGACATGAATTTTTGAACGGACACTAAGCTATACTATATTCTTCAATTATACTAGGTAAGTATTGAAATGTGAAAATAACCTGCTTTGTGTTAGATGAAAACAGTTGTACGATCAGATTTTTAACTAAATTGAAGAACTGAAATCATTTTCTATTTTTATTTAGATTTCAAAGTAAGCATAGAGTGGTTTTATATACAAAGCCTTTACTTATTAAGGACATATAGAGCAAGTAGTATAATTACATTCATTTAAATGTCTTAAATTGCAAAGCACCTCATTAATGGAAGATACAAGTACATTATATTGTATACTGTCTTAAGACTACATGACAAATTCCTTTATTCTGGTATACAAAAATTGAAGCATGCTATCAAAATGATGCTGTTCGCAACATGTGATTTTCAAAAATACATGAAGAGCTCTTAGACTAGTAAAATGATTATGAACTGAGACGGACATTTTGAGTTGATCAGATCATAAAAGACATATAATCGATAAATAATTCATGTCTTTTAGTCAATGTAAGATCATATGTATTGCGGTAAAATAAGGAATGGTAGGTAGATGTAATATGGATTCATTTATTTTTGCGGTATTAATTTTCGTGGATATTTTATATCATGGTTTTGCAGAAGTTTGTATACAGGCCTAGAATTTGTTTTACTTAGTTGTTGTCCTATACGCACGTAATCAACGAAAATTGGTGCCTATAAATGATTACGATTCCACAGTAGCACATGATTTAATTGTATGAAAAGAGATTGCACAATACATTTTTACTGCAAACGAAATATCTACACCGTTCTTAATAACTATCAAGATGATATCTGATAAATAAACTCTTGAAGCCGTAAATATTTATGTTTGAACATTTTAGATGTTAAAATCAAAATGGCCGTTTCGGACTAAAATCAATTAGCTAGTGACAGCAAGAGCATCCATTTTGTTATGAACATATATCATGTATATGGAACTGAAATGCAGTATCGTGTCCAAATCCTTGAAAGAACAAGATGCGTATAGGTAAGAACGATTGCTCTTTCTAAACGAGATTTGACTCAACTTGACGTTTTGTTTATCCATAGCCACGTTTCAGGGAATTCAGTTCGAACTTTTTTAATTTGCGGCAAAAGTCCAACTTCTGGTCTGTCTCCATCCTCCATGTAATACACACGTGCCTTCCCTTTCAACATACATTTGAATTCGATTTAAATGACTATGATATTATTTGTCGTACTGTCACATATCCAGTTTTCGTTTTAAATGAAAGTCAACATGTTTAACTAGAAAAATAACAGGAAGTTAGTTTTATCCCTGTATTTGAATAATTAAGTCCTGTTAGGAGCAGTCCCATACAATGTGATAAAAATCTAAACAGCGAATATAATATGTTATAATGTTTTCTGCAAATATTTGCTTCATAAACTTACAGAGACTTACAACGTGAACGAGTTGTGAGTTACAGGGTTGAAATGTTCGAAAGATTATTAAATTTTTAAGATGTTAACCTCTAACCAATTTGAAAATAATTAAAATAAGGAGATATGAAATGATTGCCAATGCGACAATTATCCAACAAGGGTCAAATAAAGTGAATTAAAGCAATTATATGCCACCATAATCGTTCTTTCAATTCTTTTGAACTGTTTTAATGTTCCTTTTCAAATTAGTGATCCCGAACGATCCCTTTAGACATTATTTATGAAGCACGCGCCGTTGGACGAATTTTGTACGCACAAGCTTATACCAATGCCACTTACTTGTTAAGTATTATAAGAGCATAATTAGTGTAGCGATGTTTTCTTTAATATGAGACCACAAGTTAAATAATGTCAGCCATGAACAACCATAACGATGTTCACGTAAATAAAAAGGAATGAGTCATAAAAGAAAAATATGATCATATGCAAATGAAACTTAACTGGTTACACATTAAATGT